GCAAACTTCTATTCATAACACCTTGCAGTGGTATTTTTAGTCTACTAGTAGATCAAGAGATCTGTCAAATTTCAAGTCAATCGTCATTCGTCAAGTGTCAAGTGTCGCGATTTATTTGCGTATTGCACAAATAGCATATTGAATTTTTTATTTTTAGTAATAAATTTAGTGTTATCGAAGATAAGCAACAGTAAGTGAGTTGCAATATTGTCTATGAAGATTTTTGAAATATGTCAAATGTTAACCCTGTCAAAGACTCCTTTACCTGCATTACGTGCAGGGTAGCTTTCAAAGATGCTGACTTGCAAAGACAGCACTACAAAACAGACTGGCATCGTTATAATTTGAAGAGAAAAGTAGCTGAATTACCGCCTGTTACCTCAGAGGAGTTCCAAAAAAGAGTCTATAACCAAAGAAATGCTGATGAAATCTCGAAACAAGACAAAAGTGTTTACTGTAGCTCTTGCCACAAGTCATTTGGCAATCAGAATGCTTTCGATAATCATTTGAATTCAAAAAAACATAAAGAGAATGAAAAGCATAATAAATCTGAAGGTATCAAATTTTTTAATTTATTTGACCTGAATTTGCATGCATTTCTTTTTTTGTCTAGATGGAAACAGTGTGTCTTCCTACATAATAGAAAATACTCCACAGAAACCAGAAATAAGTGAGGGAGAATCGGATGTAGAAGAAGTTGATTCTGATGAATGGGATGACGCTACAGAAAATCCTATTAATAATAATGATTGTCTATTCTGTATGCATCATAGTCACAACTTCATAAAAAACTTGGAACATATGACCATTGTACATTCCTTTTTTATACCCGATATTGAATACTGTACAGACTTAAATGGGCTACTTCGATATTTAGGAGAGAAAATATCCGAAGGTAAGGAGAAGAAAGTGACTAACAAGTTATCATTTATTATTTTCTCCTGTATTTTAGGTTTTATGTGTTTGTGGTGCAATGAAAAAGGTAAAACTTTCCATTCAGCCGAAGCAGCAAGGCAACACATGTTGGATAAAGGTCATTGTAAGATGATACATGAAGGACTAGCTTTAGCTGAATATGCAGACTTTTATGATTACTCCTCTTCATATCCCGATGCAGAAAATGAAATAATTGATGAAGATGAAGAGGTGAGTATGCACGTACATATTAATTTTCAATAACTGAGTAATTTTTTTTTAGGTCGAACTTGCTGAAATAGATGGGTCGGAATATCAACTAGTTCTACCTTCGGGAATCACTGTAGGTCACCGAAGTCTTATGAGATACTATCGACAGAATCCTAATCCCAATAGAGCTCTAGTGTTATCATCTAAGAACGATAAAAAGTTGCACAAAGTATTAGCCCAATACAGAGCTCTAGGGTGGACAGAGACTCAACAGGCAGCTGCGGCCAAGTAAGTTCTTAATTTTTGAAATATACATGATTTTTAATGAACTGTACTTTTCAGGAAAGCAAGAGACATTCATTTCATGAAACGAGCTCAAGCAAAATATAATACAAAAATGGGGATGAAAAATAATACATTACTTCAGAAACACTTTAGAAGACAAGTCCAGTTTTAGAAAATAATCAGTTATTTTTGTATATTATTGTGTGAGAAATATATACATATATTCAATATAAAGTCATTTCAATTCAATGTCCATTGGCAAAAAAAATTGAATTAAAATAATATTTTGCTGTCGTACAAAACAATTTGTTTTTACAAATTTTTTTCTATTGCAATCCCTCTTTCTGTCGTTTGTTTCATCTGGTTGTGATTTTTTTTATTATGTTTTGTTTTCGGCTTATTCCCATTAAGGGTTATTGTTTGCTTAAATTTTTGTTTTTAGTTTTTTAAGAGTCCAGAGGGAATTGCAATCGACGCCTTCAGATCTAACTTACACATTTATCATTATTGCTTTTTACATATAATACTTTTATTACCCTATTATGACAGTTAAGTAACAATTCGCTTCTTATTAAGGCATGCTTTAGATCTGACGATGTTGATCATACTGCCCCTGGCCGCGGATGGTCTAACTTCTTTAAAACTAGGCAATGTCAACAATTAGACAGACCCTCTTGTCGTATGTGTCTATCTATACCTAATTCACTTGGTTTAAAAAGGGAACAGAAAGCAACACAAACAGCGAATATACAATTGAGCTCAGAAGCTACCCAATTGTGACATAGAACAAGAGTAAAACCAGTTTGAAAAAACTTTATATTTGACTAAATAATAATAACTTCAGATTAGTGTTCCAATTAACTAATTGGTCTCATTGTAAAATATAATCTATCATATTTACAAGACAGTAATAATTACATTTGAATTTATTTTTAATAAATAAGGAATAATTAAAAAAAAGTAAAGTATATCTCGGTTGCAAATGGTGCTTGGACATCTTACGACTAAGAGCCAAATCAATCTATATTTAACGATTTTTAACTGTTGTTTTTGGTTTGGATCTTTAATTAGGGAATCGACTTTTGACATCGTGCCGTTAGAGGGCGCTAATTTTTCCACCCGCATTTGTTTATTTTTACCCTTAAAATTTCAATACCCCATAAAGCTGTCAAAACCACATCAGCTGTAAAAAGATGACGAAGAAATAAAGACTTGTACAAAGGAAACATAAAAACAACAGTATTAACGGCATATACCTTAAAAATGTCCATAATTTGTGAAGAAGTGTTTGATGAAGTTAGCCATCCCTCTGAAGATGGTAAGTTTTTTTAAAACCACATTAAAGTAGGACATTATGGTAATGTTTTTTGTCATTGTTTTTATAAGGTTTAAAACGGTTCTTTTGCGTTTTTTTTAGGAGTATAATAATTTTGTATTCAAAATAAATTAATTACCGTGTCCGTGTCTAATAACAAACCACTCGTAATATTTTGTTTCAGAAATTAGAGATTATGCTACAAAAATTGGTATAGATCCTGATTCCGAACCACAATTACTTCCTTTAGCAGCAGAAGGGCTTATGAAAGCATTGCCACCTGGATGGAAACCTTGGTAAGATTTGTGTTGGTGTTGTACATACACAATTTTTTCGGTGACATGTATTTGACCATCATATCATTTCAGTAAAATTGTAGATACTGTGGCAACAAGTCCAGAAATTACTGAAAAATTGACAATTGCCACTGAACCCTGCATACCAAGTTATAGATTCTGTGTTAATTTAAAAAAACTGATCAAGCATTCAAAACTTTTTTAAATTTTAAAACTATTAAAATATTTATATTAATTTAAAACACACTCAGTTTTGAATTAGTTTAATATTTATTCTGAACTATCGATCAATTGAAGTGTGATTACCAAAAGAAATCAACAAAAGAACCCTTAAATACAAAAATTCCAGAAATTCTATAAAACAACTTTTTTATTCACTTTTGTATTTAATTACTGACATTTTGTGTTTTACTATTTTGGTTGTCAATTATTTCATCCTTGTCATTATCTTCGTCATCTTCACCTTCGTCTCCGCTGTCATTATCCTCTTCGTCTAAATCATATGAATGCCTGGAAAGCTTATTTTTTATCCAATAGATCATAGATTCTTCTTTAATTTCAGTTTCGACTATAGTAGGATAGATGTATTTTTCTTTGAAATTGTTTATTTCATCTTCAACATCTTCCCAGGTCAATTTTTCGTGCATACCGTCGGTTCCATATCGATTATTGTATCTGGAAATAAATATTTATTAGGAATTATAATAGACTTTAAGTTGAAAAAAAAAATTACCTGTCATAGTGAACATAATCCAAAACTAAACCAAGACCTGGCGCTCTAGGAACATTAACCTTTTCCATTTGAAATGAATCTTTTATAATGTCAACTGACGCAAGGCCTTTAACTACCGCTATTAGACATCCGACCATTTTCCTTATCTGGTGCATCATAAAACTCTGCCCCTGCACTTTCAACACTGTAAACTCCACCTCATTCCGCACAAACGGTTTTTCACAATCAAACAATTTGATATATCTATTAGCGCTGGGATCGTTTGGTTTCTTTTTCGATGTGTAATTGTGGAAGTTCTTTGTACCAACAAAGTTTTGTAAAATGGTATTCACAGTATTAAGCTTTTCCTCTCCGAGTCTGTAATCTTTCTGAGAAATATCTTGATCTTTGTCTGCAAAGGCCACCGTCGGTAACATGTAGATATAAGTTCGACTATCGCATTGAGATTTGCTGTTGAAGCCTTTCGTCACTCTTTTGTAAGCAAATACCCTTATTACTTCGGGTAGCTCTGCATTTATCTTTCCCAAGTCTATGTTTTCCGCTAATTTCAAGGAAACTATCTGTCTTGCTGCTGACACTCCTACAAATAATTAAAATGGATAATAACGGATATTTCGTAACTTATATTTCCTTACCTTTATCAGTACGTGCTGCTCTCTGAAACTGCATATTCTGAACCTGGTTATAACAGTCTTCGTTTATCAAACCAATTTTAAATAGAGCTTTAAACAGGTCTTCCTCAATTGTTTTCGTGTGCGGGTTTCGTTGCATACCGTAATACCCCACTCCCGAGTAGCCCATCAACAGGCAAAATTTCCGTCTCTTCACTTTATCTAAAGTCAGTTGAACGGTTTCAATATCTTCGTTTTTAGTTTTCTTAGAAGGGGTTGCACTGCCGATTGCCTCTCCCTTGTCGGACCTTCTTTCTTCCCACTGACGTTTCTTGGACCTGCCATCGTATCTAGCTCTTTTAAATGCTTTTATGTCACTCATATTCAATGTAGGACGTGGATTTGAGTCGATTTTTACAAGTTTGATGCAAGAAATGAGGTTTGCAAAGGTGAAAAAGGTGTTTTTCGTTAATTTCTTCAACATAACCCTCAAGGTCTTCAGTAAACTTTAACCGAAAAATCCAAAAAGCTAACTAAACCTCATTGTATTTTAATGGCAATTTAGTAATAAGACTATTTGGAATCATGATTTAATTCTCTGTAAAGAGATATTAGTTAAACAGCACAACACTAGAAACTACCTTGTTTTTTTCTTTTACAATCTAGGTTATGTTTTTTTATGCACTTTTGCCAACTGTACCGAGAAGAACTCTGAATTAAAAGGCGGTCGATTTAATTTCAAAATTTAATATTCAGGACACGGTTCTAAATATGCAAAAAAATTTTTAATTACGAAATTCGATCCATCTGAAAAATCATAGTGCATTTTAAGTGCATTTTAAGTTTCTTAAGAAGTTACAGACCTCTAAAACGTATAGGTCACTTAAGATTATTAAAAACATTTTGTTTTTCTTTGCTGTATTTCCTTGTTCGTAGAGATCTTTTAAAAAATCTGGTTATTTTGTTATTGATTAATAAAAAATAATGTCATCAATCACTTTTGCAATGTGTAAAATAGTGTTGATAGTAGTAATTTAAATTTTAAAAAACATTCTTTATTTTTGTAAATATCAATTGATTATTTTAACTGATTTCATTTAGCTATGACGACAAATCCAAATCTTATTACTATTACAACAACTTAACGAAAAAGACCCAATGGGAACATCCCTTGGATGACGTGTACCGCGGTCTGGTGAAAAAAGCAAGGACAGAAAGCCAATCGATTAGTTTACAGGACAACCGGGAAGACATGACTTACATAACAGATGACATTCTTAGTCTGGAGGAACCTTTGTCGAACTTACCGTCAAAGAAATTGGAACCTCTTCCTCTTGGGGCAAGAAAGAAAGACGTGAAACTCTCCCCCTTGAAACTAAGCCCAAATGTCAGTCCTAAACGAGAGCTAAAATTATTTAAACAAAAGTCAGAGGACTATACTATAGGTAGCAAGAAACTCTCACTCGGTTTTAGTAGTTTCGATGAAGAGAAGGACAGTAACTTCGACAAACATCCAAGAAGTTTGGAGAGGTCGGGGGAGCTTAAGGTGGCAGGTGGAGGAAGCATGTTTCTAAAATCGAATACGAGAAAACAAAGTGAAACTTCTCTCACCAGCCCGGCCAGTCAAGGAAAAGTGGAATCCATGCAAGGTATGCTCAGTTAAATTATGATATACCTGTTTGATGACAAACTGTACACGTTATAATAACAGAGTGGCACACAAAGGCTAGTATAAATGGATATAGAGAATGACCCATGAAATTTCACCATAACTAATTAATTTTTTGTATTCGATCTATATCAGTGGCGGCTCGCCAGGTGACGCAAGTGACGCACCGCTTCATCTAAAGTTTCCATTTGATTGTGCAATTTAAAATTATTTTTAATTTTATATAAATTTTATAATTTAGGTATAATAGAAATAAACAGAATAGTTGTGCGGTGAACGCCGTCTAAAAAAACATTGCCTTTGTTGACCGCAAGCATCAACCTCGTACCATACAACATAATAGCATAAGCAAGTGATGCGGATCGAAATCAGTTTGTATTGCCAAACGTGAGTAAACTACGGCGTGGGGATACGAATGATGCGGAATTGAACCCGCATCGCCATCGCCCATCGCCTGGCGCCTGCCTTTAAACAGTTTATAAGATACGTCGCCCAGCACACGATTATAACGGTTCTTTGTTAATATTTATTTTGTATCAATAATTGTAGAAATGTTTCCTATGTATGATTCTGTTTTTTTTATTGGAAACGCCATTTTCCAGATGGAAAATTGGGTAGAAAAAGAATTTTTTAAATTGCGGGAGACCTGTGCCTTCTCTCGATGTGGAAAAAAGGAGGACGTCAAAAGACAAAGTGTACGTTCGGAAGTATCGGAATGAATGGTATTCGGAGTATGAGTAAAAGTGGTTGTGTGGAAGTGTTTATTTAAAAAAACTTTTCTGTATGCCCTGTTTGATTGTGTTTCTATTTTTTATAAAATCTAAATAAAAATCATTCGCGCGAGCGTCGGTTTTTCGGTAATATTGCAAATGCAACTAAAAATTTCCAGATTCATTTAAAAAGCTGTTTGATCTTGAAAATTTTCATCTGTAGCTCTTTTTATTTTTTTTTTTTTTTGTCAATGAATATGCTTCACTTATTCTCAATATCACGAGCCACCACTGCTCTATATCACCAAAAGACAGCAGACTCTTCAACCAAAAAAGCAAACAAGCAAAAATCATTAAAATAAAAATATGATAGAAATCGCAAATAAAATTATGGCCATTATAATTTTTTAAATAATCAATCCTTGTCATAAATGTATGTGGGAGATGTCGACAAAAATTTAGGAAATAGTGATCACTGAAAAATGGAAATTAATGTGTAGCATATATCTTTGTAAACTAAAATTTTTAAATTTTTATTTTGGTCAAAACTTATTTAGTGTATGATGGCTTATAACAAAAATAAATGAATTTCCACAAATAGTTCGAAAGCTACAGCCAAAAAGTGAAAATTCTTGGATTACCCACGACGTTTTAAGTAGTTATACTCGTATTGTTGTCATCTAGGTTTTCTCACTCTGCTGTTGCAGTAGGTACAGTTGGGTATGAAACACTCTGTATATGGCTTTAATCTTAAATTGTAGAGCTGCAACCACCCAGAAGCATTCTAAGGGACAAACCTGCTATAGAACACTCGAAAAGTATGGAATTTGACAAGCTAGCAATATTTGATAAATCCGAAAAGGAGGATGAGGACAAGAAAAGTGTGAGGTTCAACTTGGACAACAACACCGACATAGGAATAACGTTTTCGGATAAAAGCTCTAGCGAAGAAGAATTCGTAACCAGTGACAAAAATACCAAACCGGAAGACGTTATAAATGTTAAAGTCACTCCCACTAATAAAGGCAGATTCACCGTCGCTCCTGTATTAGACTTTATGAATAAAGCAAACGCTTTGAAGTTGATTAAACCAAATCCTACCGACTTTATAAAACCGAAACTGACTATTAATAAAGGTTCCGATTCTGAGGATGAAACAAGAAGTATTGAAAAAGTTGCGATAAACAACGTGGAAACATTTTTTGACAGCGATAACTCTGTTTCTAGTCCCAGCGATAAGATTGCCGAGAAATCAAAGAAATTGGAAGATAGGGCCGAAAAGAAAATAACGATATTGAAACAAACAATATGGGAGGAAAAGAATGAGGAGATCGTCAAGTTTAAATCGAACTTGCATAATTCTCATAAAGCTGAATTAGAGAGGATTTTAATAGAAGAAAAAACCAAACACGAGAACAATATTAAGAATGAATTAGAGAATCTACGCAAGGAAATGGATGCGAGAACCACCGGAACGTTGAAAGAAGAAAGGCTTAAGTTGGAATTTACTGCGGAAAAGTTGAAAACGGAACAAGAGGAAATTCTTAAAGAAGAAGAGGAAAAATTGAAGGAAAGTTTGGATAAAAGGAAGGAAGAATTAGAAAAGTACTATGAAGAGAAACTGGCGGAAATCGAAAAGGAATTAGCTGAAAAGGTCGAAAGAAGTAGAGACGAATTAGTGTTTAACCACAATGCAAATATTGAGCAACTGAAGCAGAACCATACGGTAATCATTGATGAATTGAAGCGGGAGTTTAAATTAGAGGTAAGAAGTATATTTTTTCAAAAATAAATTTCTCCTATCTAAATACAGGGTGAGCTACTTAATATTCCGTAGTAACTAAAGGACATTATAAATCATTGTTGCCCATAGGCGTCGAATAATATAGTGTTTGTCTTAATGTAAAATAATTTTTTATATGTCGTACTTGTAGCTGTCATTCTATGATCAGTACCGATTAAACATTTGTCCTTTGTTTCCAAGAAAATAACAGTGGAAACGTTAAATGGCACACCCAGTATATATTCATATGTAATAAAATATAAAATTTATTAAATCATAAGACGAACATATTGTGTTCCTTCAGGAGCAAACCCTGAGGAGAAACCACCAAGGTCAAATGACTGACTTAAAGACAAAGATGCAAAACGAACTGGAGCAAGAAAAGAACAAATCCGTATGTGACGAAAGGACTTACGAGAAGCTGCGCTGCGAGAAGAGACTATTAGAGGATAAATACAGGTGCTTGAAGGACAAATATCTACGGCTGAAAACTGACGTGAAACTATCGATAGAAAAGAGGAATAAACGAAAAGAGCAGAGCACCACAACAAACACGACGGGATCAGAAACAGAACAGAGCTCGAATAACAAAGAAAGGTATGTAGGGAAGTTTGTGCTTCAGTCGTCTCTAAGGCATTTAAAAGATCGGAACATGGAGCTAGTTTATTGAGGAAAAATTAATGTTAGACATACTTAATGCATGCTGTTTCCTTTTACAATCAATAAAACTTGGAAAGTGAGCGTTCATTGTTATTAATTTTACTTTAGGATTAGTTTAAAAAAAAAACGTAAAATTTGTACGGCTGGGAGTAGGTCGACTGATTGCAAAACCGGATTTATTCAGTTTCTTTGACTTTGTCATTTTTGAAAGAAATATGAAAAGGATATATTAAAAATGACAACTATTATGCAGGGCGTTCAAAAAGTTTGGAACCCCCCAGAAATCTCCCTCACATTGCTCAAACAAAAAAATTATTAGGACAAAAGTTGCAGGGTTTTGAGTGAGTAATCCAACGGTGACCTTAACCATGACCTTGAAGGTCATTTATAGGTCAAGTTGAAAATTTTAAATGGAGCCGAAACTTTTGGCCCCGGAAATAGTAAGTGGAAAATTTTACGGTTGAATGTGACTTTGACCATGATCTTCAAGGTCATTTAGAGGTCAACCTGAAAATTTTAAATGGAACCATATATTTTTGACCCCGGAAATGGAAAAAATGGAAATTTTTACGTTCGGATATGACCTTGACCATAACCTTCAAGGTCGTTTACAGGTCGAGTCGATTTTTAATAAATGACCCGATATTCTTCACTCTTTTCATATCCGGGAGCAAAAGTATAAGGTTCCATTTAAAATTTTCGACTTGACCTCTAAATGACCTTAGAAGTCATGGTCAATGTAAAATTTTCCGCTCTTACCATTTCTGGGGTCAAAAGTATACGGTTCCATTTAAAATTTTCAACTTGACCTCTAAATGACATTCAAGGTCATGGTCAAGGTCACCGTTGGATTGCTCACTCAAAACCTTGCAACTTTTGTCCTAATCATTTTTTTGTTTGAGCAGTATTTTCTGTGATAGAGGGGGGTTCCAAACTTTTTGAACACTCGTATACAGGGTATATACATCCAAATTTAAGAATATTCTTTTATACTAGGCCATTTTGAAGATAATGTAGTGGAAACTATAAGAAATATAATGGGATGTTGGATAAGTTCCTGCTGTTTTCTCTTGAAAATTAATGCTTTATTTAAAAAAAATTGTAAAAAGCATGTTACTGAAAGTATTAATGCATGGCTGATCTTGCCTCACAGTTTTCTACGCTCAGGATTATTGTAGCATATACATTTTTCGTCGATTTATTTTTCTGCCGTTGAAGCAGGTTTTCATATATGTGCAAAGACGCCGTTCGACATCTCTCAGGTTTATCTCGTACGGCACCCAATGTCGTTAATCATTCTTAATGCTTTCAAACGTTTCGAAATTCCTGCAAGTTCAGCTTCTGACATGAGCCTTCATGAAGTAGTGCCTCCTATTCTTCATCTTCAAACTGTTCAGTGCCAGAGCGCTCGTTATCTTCAACATCAAAATTATTATTTTTGAAGCGTCTAAACCAATCTCTGCATGTTGTTTGTGATAGAGCATGGTCGTGGTAAGTCTCAACAAGAATTCTGAGTGCTTTGGCTGCAGATTTCTTTTAAATAAAGTAATGCAGTAAAATTCCTCATAAATACTTTTGTTTTGGCGCAAAAATTGGCATGTTTAAGTAGTGTACACTTCGGCGACAGAACGTACCCTGAATTTCAAGCTTGACATATGACATAAACTTGAAACGAAATTTAGGGTTACAGTATATGAATATAGTGAATATCACAGGAGCGTGATTTTAACTTTTTACAAACTTATATAAATATAATTTTGCCTAAACGTATCGTCGCTACAAAGTACTAATTTGTATGAAATTATGCAAAAAAAATTGAGGTCGATTTTGTTCAAAATAAAATTTGCCTTTAAAAAATTACAACTTTTTTCGCAACAGTGTACCATAACTTTTGAGAACAATGTATCGACCATGCCTAATATCAACGCCATCGATTTGAATTGAAACTTAATTTTTTCATGTTGAATGCCATTTAATTCATCTATTGTACACAAAATATCGTTCCAATTTATTCACACGATATTTAAAGAAATTATACATTTTTTTAACTTTAATTTTTAACTTTAACACCGTGTATCTCAGAACGATGTTTATATAAGAAAATATTCTTAAATATGAATTAAATGAATCAGTCATAAAGGATGAAAAAATTTAAAAGTAAACTTGTTAGGACTCCATTAAACTCCCCGTCGAGAAAATTTCTTGAAAAGCCGCCGACTCCAAAATATAACAAGACAAATCAAGACATCTCCCGAATAAAACCCGAGAACAGAAATGTGAAGCAAGTCATCATACAAGATTTGGACACCTCCATCAGCGACAACTGCTACCAGAGCGACGATAAAGCGAACCAAAACGAGAAAGACAGTTCCGACAGCACGAATCCTGGTCGGAGTCGAAAAAAACTTTTTTCCAGGTTAGTTTTGTTTACATATGTTGTTCAAGATAAGCATGTCTATCACAGGAATATCGATAAGGGTTATAGATACAGGATGGCCCAAATTAGAAAAAGTTATGCCATTATTAGATCATTGGAGAGACATAAATGAATATTAGATAATATATTTTTTGCTTTGAGTATTTTAAAAGAAGAGGAAAGAGAAGAATACTTCTCTATGACAATTTTTTTTTGTATTTTCTCATGAAATGATGAACTTCATTTTTTTAAAATATGGCTGTCTACGTATTTTTGAAGTATTTTTAATTCTACGTTCACTAGAATTAAATCAAAACAGTATTATCTCAATTATGAATATGGTATAAATACTTTGAACTTTCATTAGCTTTAGCAAAAAAAAATCTGTACTTAAAAATTCTGTTTTTTTCAAAATATCTTCGTAATAACACACCTTTTTAATTTGATTAACCTTATATTTTTTACCGTTTTCAATGTCCCCAGAGTGCACATGGTATAGATGTTAATAACAACAATAATAACACATTTATTTGTTAGGCTGAAAAGTTCGTCCACCTCGAGAATAAACAACAACTCTAAAACCAGAAAGCCGCAAAGGTCCTGCTCACCAGTAGAAAACTTAAGAAGACAACTCCAAAAGTTGGAGGACCTGGAGGACCAGTTTCCAGAGAACGCTCAATCCGACACTTACCACCTCAGGTACCCCTTTTCAGATGGGCAGAAATTCGAGGGCAGTTCCGAACTCGAGTTTTTTCGACACAGGATCCACCTGGAGAGGGACTCAATTAAAAGGGCAAAGGAGAGCCTGAGGAACCAGAAGTCGTTATTCCAGCAGAGGCAGAAAGAGCTTAAACTCAAACACGGTACGATGGCCAGGCATACTCTACAGCAACTTTGTCAGGTACCTTTATGAGATTTCATGGAATAATAATATAAAACTTACCTCTATCCAAATTCTAAAATGCTTTGTCTGATTCAAATGAAATTTGGATGCTGATACTTATGATAGATGTTTAACATTTTTGTCGCACCAGTTATTAACTGAGGAAATATTACTTTTTTACAACCCAAAACAGACAAAATATTTTCACATCAGCATATTATAGATATCGTACATTAAGATCTTCCGCGATATCATTGATAAAAATAACAAATTGAAGAGGTCCAAGTATGGGCCCTTGAGGAACTCCTGATGTTTGAAGAAAAGTATTAAATTTAAAACCACGGTACTTCACATATTGTGATTGATTATATAGGGATGAACGAAATAATTTAACTAGCCAACTGACAACAGTATACAGGGTGTTTTTAAATGAAGTAGCAAAAATGGTATCACTGAATGTAGAGCCAAAAATAAGAGAATTGAAGCAAAAATACCTTATATGAAAGTTGTACCCCTGAGGCGATATACCCTCTTAAAGGAGAGAATTGAAATTCACATTTTAATTTTTTTATTTATCATATTAATAAATTGACACTTTCTGTCAACCAATAAGTAGTACCAATTGATCAATTTATTATCGAATAATTATGACAAATAATATTTATACCAGTGATGAATATGTCGACATGCTCCATGTGTTTTTCGAATCCAGAAAAAGTAGTAACACTGCAGTAAGATTATACCACCAAAGACATCCAAACCGACCGATTCCTCATAGACAAACATTGACCTCGGTGGAAAGAAGGCTTCGCGAAACTGGTAAAATTCAGCCCAATCGTGAGGGTGCCGGAAGAAGGCGTAATGTCCAAACTGTTGAAACTGAGGAAGTTATACATCTAGAACAAGACTGTGGTACAAGCACAAAACAGGTGTCCAGGCAACTGCAAGTTTCTCACAGTCTTGTGTGGAATGTAGCTCATGAAAATCTTTTATACCCTTTTTACCGTCAACCCGCGCAAGAATTGAATGACCCTGATTTACCTAACCACATGGATTTTTGTCAATGGTACATTAATATTTCCAGGCATGACTTAAATTTCCTAATGAACATACATTTCACCAATGAAGCAAATTTTCCTAGAGTAGGAGTAGTAAACATTCATAATGTTTCAGGAAATATTTGTTTCAAGGTAACATAATTTCAGTTTAAACGTTTGGATAGGAATTGTAGGAAATACCTTTTATTCTTCCACACAGGCTTGGAGTGGCCGAGTATATTAGATTTTTGAAGGAAAATCTTCCAGCATTACTTGAGAATGTACCCCTCGCTACACGTCAGATGATGTGGTATATGCACGATGGGGCGCCTGCACATAGTACACTTGCCGTTAGAGAATGGTTAAATTTAAATTACCCGAATCCCTGTATTGGTTGTGATGCCCCTGTTTGTTGGTCTGCACGTTCACCTGACCTAACGCCTATGGATTTCTTTTTGTGGGGACACATAAAAAGTATTATTTATGCTACTCCTGCTGCCTCCTTAGAAGAACTATGCTTAAGATTATTTCAGGCAGCAGATGACCTTCGCAATAACCAAGAACTGTGTGCGAGTGCGTTATAACTTCAACAGATGTATTAGGTTATGCTTGCAGCAAAACGGAAATTATTTCGGGAATATTCTTTAAATTTAATTTCAGATAAATAACTTTACTTAATTCATAAATTATTCTTAATTCTTAATGTTATTATTAAATTACCATCTTATTGACAGAAAGTGTCAATTTATTAATATGATAAATAACAATTTATTTTTTATGACATCCGCCTACTTTATTTTTACAAAATTTCGCAATTACCCCTTTAGTGAACGATGACGCATCTAATTTTTTTACTAGAAAACTATCGGTTTTATCAAAAAATTACAAGAGGTAAAAAAGTTGCGCAATAAATCAGTATTTCCAATAAATATTTTAAAATAAATAATTTGCGATTTGTGTAATATAAGAAATTAATAACTAACTAATAAGTTGGAAAGCAGTATATGTCTGATGGATTCAGCTGATGAAGGATCGTAGCTGTTTACCAGATATTACGGTTATAATTCAACTTTTTTTTTGCTAAATTATTCCTTAAAATTTCCCTGAACGAACATTCAATTAAAAGTTTTTCTCCTTCACAGAGCATTATTCCCTTTTTATTATTAAATAAATTCAATTTCTGTTGACTAATCGAGATTTGTTCGAAAATGTGTCGGTAATGACTAATAAAATAATTAATTATACGAAAACTATTTGTAATAAAATAAAAACTTAAGTTAAGCAAAAAATATGGACATATATACTTTTAGGGTACTTTTCAGAGTTCAAAGGGACATCTATACACTGGCACTAACATTCCAAATTTCATTTAAATTGAACAAAGTGCAAAGTGTTTTATATGTCTGGAAAATAATACATTTTTTTTGGAAACTTTAACACCTAGCAACTAAACGAAGCAACTTTGGATAGGGGTAAGTCAAGACGCTGTGATAGTTGTGTGTCCACTAAATATTAGGACGGCCTGTTAATTAGTTCCTACCGTAGGAGGAAAAAGAATTGACCGACATGGAAGTCAACCTGCACCGTACCAGGAGCCTGCTAGGCGAGAAAGTTATAAGGCTGCGCCACCTAGAGCAGTCCTTGCAAAGGGCGAATGTCCAGAACGACCAGAAAAATGATGACGCGACACTAAGCGACATCTCCTCCCACAGCGCCAGCTCGGGTATTAGCTCCACCGAGTTTGCCACAGCGGACAACTATGCCAAAGGCATAATACCGGCTAACGAAAAGTATCAGGAATCCTCGGAGATTATACAGAGCTTGGAGAATTTAAATTCTGAGATTAGAGAAATCTGGGATGTTCTCAGGACGCAACAGCAGCAGACCAACATCGCACAAGGTAACGCAACGTTTTGTTACCCGTATCACTTTCTTCCTGTCATCCAACACTGTTGATTAGTGTAGTTGGATAGATCATTTCGTAGAGAAAGATTTTATGCCCTAAAATACCTAAAGTTTGGTATTTGGTCAACATTAAATTATTCATATTTTTAGAAGTAAAAAAATNCGTTTTGTTACCCGTATCTCTTTCTTCCTGTCATCCAACACTGTTGATTAGTGTAGTTGGATAGATCATTTCGTAGAGAAAGATTTTATGCCCTAAAATACCTAAAGTTTGGTATTTGGTCAACATTAAATTATTCATATTTTTAGAAGTAAAAAAATTAAAATATTCTTCTCTTATTACTAATCAAATAGGTGTAAAAATTTTTATTTCTTTTTATAGTTTTGCTCCTTCAAGTATAAGTTGGATATACAGTTTTTTAATTTTTTTCAGCATATACCTATCTCTTAAGTGTCTCGTAATCAGATGACGATATAGAAACAAAATTTCATTACTTTCAAATATGTCACGTACATCAAAACAATTTCAGAAAGCATTAAAATGGATCGGCATAGCTTTAGAATCTAACAAAATATGTCAATGTAATTTCAAATCCACTGTAGAATACATTTAAATATATTCCTTCAGAATACATCATAATAGTATTAAAAACATACCGACATCTCAAAAACCAATAAGTATACCCCGAAAATTTTGAAATATTTACAAAAACTTAGAAATACATTGAAAGATGTACTAATTAACATAAAATTTCTTCGAAACACCTCATAATCTTTCGAAAACTTCCAAATACATTGTAATTAAGAAAATATTCTTAAATTTAGATGAGGAAAATTCTTTTTAATTTCCGACACACTGTGATACACCCTGTATATCAAAGGGAGCAGATAGCATATATTATTTTCTTGTTTTGACAATTCGCCCATACAAAGCACCCCCCGTAGTATTTAAGGGCATACTATCCCCCACTAACTCTACTCGTCCCCTATTTAATTTTCAGTAATACCGCCATTAGTCTATCCAGACTTAGGTTGGCCCATTTTAGCCGGATCCGCTAGTATGCCGGCACCACCTTCCATTCCCACACTGGCCGACCGCCTGCATAACTACCGACAGCACGTGGTGCTGGCCAATGCCCAGAGCACTGTGGTGACGCACGCCAACCAGGGCGCCACCACTACCTTGGTTGAACGCACCAGGAATCTGAGGCACTGGCTGCGGCAAACGGGCATAGACGTGGGTAATGAGACCAGCCCCGCCCAGACCACCCTGTAATAGGCTTGTAATTTTAGGGATAAATATAGGTATTGTTGGTTAATGGATAGTCTATGAGAGTTTCTCTGCGCCGTGATGATGGTCATGTGCTCCATATTTCCTTGCTGCAAACACACTGAGTTTGTATAGTGCAGGGTAAAAAAGCTATAAGATTCACAAAAAAGCTATAAAATTCGTAAAGAAAACAAAAGGATTCATAAAAAGCTTCAAGTTTTGTAAAAAAAAAAACTATGAGATTCATTGATGAGCTATATGGCTCATAAAAGCCATAAAGTTCATAAAAAGCTACAATTTTAGTAAAAAAGCTAAGAGATTCGTTTAAAAGAGCTGCTAGGTTCATAAAAACCATGAAATTCATAAAAAGCTACAAGTTTTGTGAAAAAGCTATGAGATTCATTGAGAAAACTAGGTACTAGATTCGCAAAAAACCTATGAGATTCATAAAAATGCTGCGAGATTCATAAAAAGCTACAATATTTGTAAAAAAGCTATGAAATTTGTCCACATTTATAGCAGTTGCTTTAGGTCTGACATCAGTACTTGTGATGGTGAAATTCACAATTTTGAGCAGCTTCTTAACATTTATGATATATTTTTCTTAATTTCAGTCTTTTTCTAGCTGGGTGTCAGAATGGATTATCAGCAAAATAAAAAAGCAGAATACCTCGACAGTAATTTGCAAATCACCTAAAATTACTTCTTTGACTTAAATTAAAAAATAGTTTATACATGCTAAGATTTTAATTTTACAAGCAGTTACCTCTATAACGCCATCTAGTGAATTATTAAATATAGGTACTCTGAAAATAGATATTTTCATCGCAGTGTGTTTGTAACAAAGAAATTCATTTATGAATTTTAAATATTTAAGAAAATATTGTTACATAAAGTCTATTTCATTCTGTGATGGTTAACTGAATATCAAGGCAGGCAGAATATTTGATTTCTTTTAAATTTACCGATTATTATTCTCTGGGAATAGTGTTGTGATGAAATTATTTATATCTTATATATCTACAAATTCTACAACTGCATATTGCTAAAAATAAACGGCATTAACAGGTTTCACGTCTCTCCTCATACTTATAGTGTCGATATATGTGTGTAAAATAAATAGGAGTGTGTAAAATACCTTTTAAATGATAGGGTAAATTCTTCAATCAAAATTACAGCTAGTGCTCTGCTTCAAACAAATTGCACAACCCAGTCGATAATTGACGACAGTCTTAATTGTTATTTTACAATTGCAATTACAATAGAAGTGTAATCGGAATGAAAATTACCTACACCGTTCCAGTCGTTAGCTGTAAGAATATAAAGTTTTTTTCCCTACTCCAAAACTTGCACGGTACTTAATTTAATGTTAGAAAAAGTTGCACAACATGTCAGGATAAATTGCATGATTGCACAAAAAAATGGACTTCAATTTTAAAGCTGATTTTTTCGTTAAGAGCATTTTGTTTTAATCACAGATTTATTTCTCAGTAACAACGTCAAGGTGGAAATTTTTATTGAAATTTCAATTTTAGGCATATATACCGTGCAATATAGGATACGTTTTTTCTTCGATATTTATAACGACCTGAAGGGTGCGCCAGGTAAAACATGGAATGTCTCCTTGAATTAAACTATAGCCTAATCTTTTCTAAACAATTTGTTCCTAACTTCATTGCTAGGGGGCCTATTTGCCTTGGTATTAAATAAAGATGGGCGCTTTTCGGAAAAGTGGATTACGGACATGTCTGTAGACATGTCGATGAAATATACGGACATGTCGGGAAAAGTACTTTTAACCTTGAATCTAATAAGGTACTTATGAGTGACTTCATGTTTTCACAGGTCACTGCTTGAGGATACACAAAGCAAAATATTACTTGTATTCTAATGAATATGTGTCAATATATTTTACTTATTACCTACCTTTAGACTTTTTTATAAATTGGTTTCTAATTTTCCTCGGACAGCCAATACGCTTATTTAAATGTTTTTCCATCCTACTGGAATTCTTAAAAATTGTTTTTGACAGAAGTTACATTTATAATGATTTTTACTCTACTCAGAAAGATATAACCAAACTGTCGATTTTGGCGCCATACGTCATTTATAAAATATTTGAGTATTAAATATTAAATTAAAATTTACTAATCGTTAACTTTGCCGAAAATAATAAAATATGGACATATAAAAGAGGTTATATTTTTAAAATGTCAGTTTCAGTTAAACAATTCCCAACGAAATTACAAGAAAATGGCTAAATAAATATCCTTACATGTACCAACCTCAAACATTTTTTACGGGAATTACAAATGCAAGAAATAATTCCGCGCATGCGCATACAACTTTTCAATCTTGAAAAGTGTCCTCAGGGGAGCTTTTGTTTTGGCAAAAATAGTACCTATTAGCAACTAATATCAGTTCAGAGTAACTAAGTTGCTGTTAGCTACCAATAGCTACTATTTTTGCCAAATCGAAAGGCCCTCAAGACATGTCCACTTTTTACTGCATGTCCGATGGACATGTCCGCGGCACATCTCTAGTATTAAATAATTAATTTATCATACAGTGTAGGTTGGAAATATGTTCTTTATAACCTATTTTTTTTTTTTTTCATAGACAAAGTAATATGGAAAACATGTACACTATTTTAAAATGCCGTAACTTGAGTTTGCCTTATCCTAATTTTAAAGGGCTCTATAAGTGTTTTCAAATAGTTCAAATCAACTTAGATTTTTTATATTTCTATTCAACCACAGTGCGAATCAGGAAAACGTTTAATACTTTATTTATTAAGTTAAAAGGCATAGCTCGAATAAGTAATTTTTAAATCTCTTTAAATGTAGCAGCCCAGAAGAATGGAAAGACACTGAACATGCTAAATGTAATACAAAGAACAGTCCGCAATGGAAACCTTGTAGGCCCCATTTCATGCTATATTATGCACAGAAGTGACAACCTAGTTATTACTTTTATGTTTATGTATGACATTTTAAAATTTTTACAGTAATTCCATAAGCTTAAGTGACACAAAAAATGGGACTATAGCAAAACTGGAGTAAGCATTTTTAAAAAAAATAGCACACCCTAGAACAGCGGTCTTCAAATTTTTACGACTTGTGGAACCCCGCCAATATTTTGATTTTTTTGAGGAACCCCTACATCTAAAAAAGTTTTCGGACACATTTTTTACTGATTATTTAATATATTTATAAATACTACGATTAACAAAATAAATATTCCACTGAGTAAAAATTAAAGTAAGACTTTATAAATAGGTATTTATTGGGTGCCTAATTAAAAAAAGAGTAAATATAATCAAAAACTAGGATGTGCTTGAATATTTTTACATAACATGTTGAAATCAGGTGCTACTGTCGTAAGTTGCAATTGCTTTTCAAATTTTGCATTAAGCATTAATAGTTTGTTTTTGTCGCTACGTACATGGAAAATGATTTTTCGCACAGGTATCTACGTAGTTGCAAAAGGCTTTAATACATTGATTGCCTGGTCAGCAATTTCAGGATATTCCTTATAAATCTCTAGCCAAAAATCAAGAAAAAGACGACGTAACCACGAAGAATGCTGTGCCAGCTTATAAGTTATAAGCCGACTTACTTGCACTTGCATAAAGAGCGTGCTCTTATAGTAACTTATACGCTTGTACTTAGGTATAAAAAGAAAAACTGAAGTGTATAATTTTTTTTAATTTTTTAATTATCGATAATAAAATTTTAAATTTTTGACTGACAATCAGTCGCGGAACCCCCATAGAGGTTGTGTGGAACCCCAGGGTTTTGCCCTAGAGGGTTTTCAAATTTTGGAGAAAAAAAAACTTCTCACCTAAAAACAATTGTGAAAACTAGATTAGTTGTTCGAGAGAAAATCAACTTTGAAATTGGGGTTCATTTTTAGTGAAGAAAATTACAAATTTTTTTAAGCAGATAAATGTCTGCAATTTATGAATTGACTGCTGAGTTAGAGTAGATACTCTGTACAATGGGCAACTTTTCACCAATTTTCCACAAAAAACTATAAAATAATGAATGTTTTGCCCTTTTCAAAATATATTCTCTTCCCTCCAAAATTGTTGATAATTATATTGGAATATAGACAACTAAACCCTGAAAAATTAATTCCACAATTATTTTTAAAAATTTTATTATTTATCATATTTTAAATAGAAAAATAATTTCCCTTTAGAAATGTAGGTTCGATTATTAATGTTTTCCTGTGTATTTCTTAAACTGACTATACCCTTGCCTTATATGTGATGTTGAAAGATTTTGACTGAAAGTTCTAGATGTGATATTACGTTTTCGATGTAGTCTCTATGATGTACTTAATTTTATCCTAAATTATATATTTTTTGTGCCTGAAAGGTGCGGATAGGACAAAGCAAAAATTGTTGACAGTTGTTTTTGTATAAACAGAAGAAATTTATGCAGAATATTCATGCTATTAGAATTTAAGTGCTTCGATCATTTTAGATCTCATTATCTATTCAAAAAATCTATGCAACAATAAATTTCGGATGTGCAAGGAGACACAAACACAAAAGTCAATAAATATTATTTATAAAAAGGAATTAAAGAACTATCATTAATTATATGAAGTTTTTTTCGGTTCGTTTTTTTTTGGGACATCTGTATGACTGAAAGTGACTGCTGCTGTAGATTTTTGGATAGAAATACATATTTGATTACCTAAAATATTAAAAATATATCAAAAGTTGCGAAATATCAAATATTTATTAAAATAGAAATAAATTTCAACTTATTGTATCCTCCGTCTTTAACATTGCTGAATTTTATGAATAGAATTTGCCAATTAAGCTAGTACAACATAGTGCCAAACATTTAGGCATATAAACTCATAAATGGTTCAATATATTTTGTTCTCTGTAAAATTACAGTTGAACAAATGCCCGTTTGTATACTTGGATCGGATTACAATTTATACAATTGTGGATTAGTTCTATTTATTGCCGAGGCCTATAGAATAATAGTGAGCCACCCTTTCCTACACAATTCACTCAGTGCTAGGTATAATTTCGACCAGTTTTCTTGTTTATGAAATAAAAAAATCCATTATTCCTAACGTAAAACTGCATCAGATTTTTTCCTTGAAACAATTATAATTTTTTCATTCGCCAACAAAATAAGTTAATTTCACTTTTCTATAGAATATGTTTTTTATTATTAGTTGTGGGTTTGCTCTTAAGAGGAAGAAAACATCTAGGCTATAAAGAATTAAATAGAACTGTCCCACGCAGTAACAAATTTTTAAGATAGGACTCATTTTACATTTTCTAGTCAAATTGTATACTTGTTTGCACAATATGTAATATACAAAACATGTAAGCCCGCAATATATACATACTTTACAAAAAAAAACTGCATTTCTTTTAATTCCTATAAATCTAAATAATTTCTGGACTAAGTGCTCAGAATCAATCTAAAAATTGGATTTTAACAACATATTAATTAGGAAAGATCATAATTTGTCATTCATACGAATTTAAAATTGTTAATGATATATTTTAAGAGATTTTTGATTTTATCATTTTCCATATTTATCGGAAAACTATTTCTGCTCCTCTATTAAAATATTTAATCACATTTTTATGACATTTAGTCTTTCAGCAACGATCATCATTTACTCCCTTCCAAGTGCAGTAGGTATGTTACTGTTAGTAACAATTTGGAGTGACTCATCGGTCAGTATTATTTTTCTTCAAATCTTTCTTCACAACTTAGCAAAATATAAACAAAAGAAATGGTAATGAAACTTATGGCCGGCATTAAAAAAAATTACAAGAGAAATTTGAACCACTTAATTTTTTTTTCCAATTTTTTATTCTAATACAATTTGTATTAGATATAGATAGAAAAAGATTTTTAACCATTCTAATTTATTTTTTTACATATATATTTTTATTATTACCTCTCAGGTTTTCTTCTATTATAAAGCTATCAAGTTTAAGTCAAGAAACAATCCCAATAAAATGTAGATTTTCCTCTAGTAGCTATTTTTGTTTTATCCAGTGTGATGTTAAAACAAATTATTTTTTGAAAAATAAAATCAATTTTTTATTTGTAGTGGAACAGTGAAAGAAAACGAGGAAATATTAAAATTTTTAATTAAAGTTAATACATTTACAGAGTCAGAATTGCTGAAGCCTTAAGTGCTTTACGCTCCTTAGCTTTCACTTGAGCCGCGATACGATCCAAGTCCCTCCTACCTTGTTGGGTAAGCTTCCTTCCGCCATCGGGAGACTTTTCAATAAGCTTCAGGGCTTCTAGACTCTGTAAGGACTTGCGAGCAATGCTCCCGGCTGACCTGCAGAAATGAGAGGGTTTGGTGCCATTGCGTTTGCGACTACCAAAAATTTTGGTAACGGAGCCTACTCCAACGGGGGAACGAATGTAAATATGTCTGGCAATAGCGGCACACCTGACATAGTACCAATCGGGATCATAGGGTGCTAATTCTTTAGCACGGGAGGTTTTTACGATGTCGATCCATTCAGGCACACGTAGTTTACCACTCCTAAAAGTACATAAAAATAACAATATTTAATAAACCATGTAAACATTCTTTCTATATGTTTAAGGTCGTTTAATTCACGATGCAGATTTCAAAATATTTCCAAATTCATGAACTTTGTCTCTTTCATCAAAGAATATTTCAGAAATTAACAATGTAACCTATAAATTTTGTACACAATGTTTCGAAATACTTACTTTTTTAGGAAGATAGCAAAGGCTTTCACAAATTTGTGTTGATCGACGTCTTTAAGTGTCACAGAAGGCATTTTTCTGAAATAAGTAAACAGATTAAGAATATGAAACTAAAAAATGTGCGTTTGACTATGGCCGACACACACCATGCGGTAATGTTTTTATTGTTTGATTAAACTGAAACCATATGCATCAAATTGTCGAGAAGAATAGTTTGGACATAAGAATTATTTTATGATATTGTTTGGCAATTGATTTTTAGTGAAAACAATATAAAAATAATAAGGTTTTACTAACCTGTCTACTGTCAAGCGTTGACAAACGGAAAAGGAAACTAGTGAAGGAATTTGGAACTAAGAACTAAGTTGTTTCTATAGGAAATATAGTTCACTGCTTTATCGGTCAGTGAGGGATGACCACAGAACAGAGACAATGGGCAAAGAACGAAGTCATTACGGTGGTAAATTGATATGAGTAACTAAATATTTACTCATATGGGTAAACTGTAAGAAGAAGAAGAGCGGTATTTCCTTGCGTTTGGTTTTGGTATCACATTTTTTATTTTGTTATTTAAATTTAAGGTTAGGTCTTTTAGCACCTACTTTTTAAATGTTTTTGTGAATACAAGTGTTAATTCACGTGCATTTCATATTTGTGCAAAACTAGTAACTTAAATTAAAGGTAAGTTTAATTAATTTTTAATATCCTTAAGTAGTAATATTGTATTCCATTTAGCAGTTTGGAAATTTATTACACCTAATAAGCATAGCATATGTTAGCAAATGCATTTTTAAAGAATTTTACTACTCGGTATATAGAAAAAATCACACCAAATATGATTCACCTTAGAAAATTTTCACACAAAATTCGCACTTTATTGTATCATGTATTTAACAGAAGAATATACCAAGGTATCATCCCTAATTCTACAACCAAAGTATATTTGCCAAACCCAGCGAAAAAACGAATAAAAATGAAGCAATCAGAATCTCAGTTACCATATGTAGAAAAAACTCTTGGCCCTCGAAAAAATAGACTAGATATACAGATGCTCTCAAAAGCAGTATATGACCAAATTTTTATTGAAGGATACAAAGATACTTGCAATGTTCAAACCATAGAACAATGTCAAAAAGAGTTATTGAAACACAACATGTGCAGCAGTGATAAAGATCTTCAAAAAGATGTTAACCTCAAAATTCCTCCGTTACATGGAAAAAATATTGAAGAACATTTTAAAATAATTGGGGAGGAGCAGGTACTACCGTATCGAGATTTAGTATCCCAATTACTTGAAAATTTACCAAAAGCGCCCGAAAAATGGCTCATGCAAAATGGTTGGACAAGATATGCACCAGGTTTAGACCCTGAGAAAGTACCATATCCTTTGGAGGAAGCTCTAGTTTTTGATGTTGAGGTATGTGTACCACTTCCGATATGAATTTGATAAGCATTTACAGTATTTATCTTTAGGTATGTATGATGGCAGGTAAAGCTCCTACACTAGCAACAGCTGTAAGTAATAAAGCCTGGTATGCTTGGGTTAGTCCATCTGTGAGAGACGGTACTTATAAACCAGTAACACATCATGAGTATCCTTTATCTGCTTTTATTCCTATGGAGAGTAGTCCCGGTGACACTGGTTTGAATCTGACGGAATATCAGATCAAACCGAAAGTTATCATTGGACATAATGTTTGCTTTGACAGAGCGAGAATTAAGGAGCAGTATTGGTTGAAAAGAACAGGTACAAGATTCATAGATACTATGAGTTTACATATATGTGTTGGTGGCGTAACCAGTTACCAACGGGCAGTTTTGAAATCTCAAAAATTTATTGAGGAGGATGAGGATTGGAAAAATTGCAGTTCTCTAAATAATCTAGTTGATGTTTACAAGTTGTATTGCGGCAAAAGCATAACTAAGACGAGCAGAGATATTTTTGTCGAGGGTACCATGTCTGATGTAAAAGAGAATTTTCAACAAGTAATGACATATTGTGCAGGTGATGTTATTGCTACGTACGAGATCTTGAAGGAATTGTTTCCTATGTTTTTAGAAAGGTTTCCGCATCCGGTCACACTGGCAGGTATATAGAATAAATTATTTAAATTAATAAATGGAAGTGTGCTATTTGTTTCATTTTAAAAGTCTTAATGAACGCATTCTGCACAAGTATTAGTTCAAATTAGTGTACAGTCTGTTACAAAAAATTACGTCAAGCCAATAATCTCATTTATTTAGATGAAGATGAATAATGGGACTTTTGCCGTTTCCCATTTTTAAAATACACATGGTTTTTTCATTAGTAGTAGTAGTAGTAAAATTTTTAAACGGAAATAAGGTTGATTGCCCCAAAATATGTAATAGAGTATCCTTGATTATTAAAACTACCAGAAAATAGAATGTATAGAAAATAAAACAAATTCTTTGTAATTTTCCTAAATACTGATAAAACATGTCGGTTTTTAAATTTATTTTAATGAGCAGTTAACTATTTCTTGGCTGAAACATCAGTTCCGTGCTAAATTGTAAGTTTTCTTGAGTACTTCTTTAATAATAAAGATAATTTTTTAAGTTTTAACGTAACACCTTATATCTTGAAAAAAGTCACCTAAATTGAGAAACTACACAAACACTTCTATTATTTTCACCCAGATACTGTGATTAATGGCTTTATATACTTTTTTGTAACAGTAAATTTAAAACATAATGATCTAAACTAGGTATGTTAGAACTGAGCACCGCATATTTGCCTGTGAACTCGAACTGGCCTAGGTATGTACAAGAGTCCGAACAGGTTTACGAAGATCTGGAAAGAGAAGGAAAACTTTTGCTAGCCCGTCGAGCAGATCAGGCCTGCCAGCTACTGCACAATGAAAAATATAAAGAAGATTTGTGGATGTGGGACCAGGACTGGACGGTAAAAGACATCAAATTGAAAACAAGGAAAAAGCAACTTAAGCAAGAGGAGAAAACGGTAGAAACTGTTAAGGTCAACAATGATGAAAATGAGGGAGTTGATCCTCTGGAAGAAAAGTTTAAATGTGATAGCAAAGAATGTGTACCTAGTAATACGCCATTGCCGGGTTATCCGAACTGGTACAGAAAACTTTGCCCAAAACCTGATTCAAGCCCTGGTTGGGTTCCAAGGCCTACTTTAATTAGCACTTCAATGCAAATAACACCGAAATTACTTTCGTTGACTTGGGAAGGTTACCCCTTGCATTATATCAGAGGAAAGGGCTGGGGATTTTTGGTACCTTTTACAGACGATGTTGATGTACCAAGAAAAGTACCTTTGAAACAGCTGATAGAAAAGTGTCCACTTTTACCAAGTAAAGATGGAAGCAACAGCTCAGAAGTGCTTCATAACATTCAGAAGTCAGTAGAAGAACACTTGATGAAAAAAGAGTACTATGCCAGGTTAAAACAGAACAAAGCACAAGATTTGTATAAAGGGTCAGGAATTTGGTGTAATACCGTAGTTGAAGATTGCTGTTGGTTTTTCAAGTTACCCCATAAAGATGGGCCTTCTCATAATGTGGGAAATCCACTGGCGAAGGATTTTTTAAGTAAATTTGCTGATAACGTATTGGGAGGTGATACCGAAAGCGCTGAGAAGGTTATGGAAATAGCGAAACAGTTATCTTATTGGAGGAATAACAGGAATCGAATACTGGATCAGATGGTGGTCTGGTTGGATAAAGCAAACTTGCCAAAAGAGCTGCAAAAAAAAGGTTAATATTTTCATATGGATAGTTTTTATATTTGGTAATAATTATGTACTTATATTTTCAAAATTGATTTATCTATTAATTAAAATATTGCGTTGGGGATTAAGTAGTATCAGTTTTATCAATTTGACATTTCATTTCAAAAACGCAATCTGATAGAGCAATAAGTCCTTTTACAAATAACGTGTCAATTAGACAGTGTACTTACTTAATTTGTATATGAACTTTTAAAGAGCGACTCCAAAAACAGTCCGAAAATCGCCCATTTTGGCAAACTTGTAATTCGTTAAAAATTTTGTGTTAAGTTTGTATATCATTAGAACGTGTTACTGAGAAAGTTCGAAGATGAGTTCAGCTTTAAGATTCACTGTATTTTAGATGGTCTATCATCAAGGTCAGGTGGTTACTTAGGTTTTTGGAGTTGCTGATTATGAATCTGAAGTCAGAATTTCAAAATTCAAAATGGCGGATCCAATATGGCGGACAAAATTTTTGAAATTGAACCAAATTCGACCAAATTGGGTATACAGGGGTTTTCGGGGTCGCTGATTATGAATCCAAGATCAGATTTGCAAAATTCAAAATGATGAATCCAAGCTAACGGTCAAAATCAATGCAATGCTATCAAGTCTTCGTCTTTTTGGGTTATACTTCGTTCATAAATTACTAATAGTCAATAAAGTCAGAATGTTGGCACTAAAAAATTTTTCATTTTTTGATCTTTTTTGAATTTTACAACCGAGACAAGTTATAGAAGAAGCCATTTTTCTGAAATAATTTCAGAGTGGAAATAATCTAAAAATATTGACCAAATAGGTTGAATAGAAGAAAAAACAGTTTAATTAAATCAAAGCCTGTAGGCAAAAATACCTAAGTCTAATTATACTATTAGAGGAGAAAGAGTAATCAGGGTACTTCAGAGATACTCGCTGGAACTCCAAGTGAAAAGTGCTCGGGCGGCTAGTTGTGCAAACCTTTATATTTTTTCAAGCATGACTCTCTTGCAGGCAAATGCACCACTTATCATCCCCCCGTGGTATTAGATTGTTAGATTCGTAATCAGCGACCCCGAAAACCTAAGTAGCCACCTTGATCTTGACGATCTAAAAAACAGTGAATCTTAAAAGTTTAAAGTGATATGCTCGATACATAAGACACGAGTATTTTGACATGTATCACTCATATCTCCAAAACCAAAGCCGAACTCATCTTGGAACTTTCTCAGTAACACGTTCTAATGATATACAATAACTTAGCACAAAATTATTAACGAATTACGAGTTTGCCAAAATGGGAAATTTTTGGAGTCGCTCTTTGAAAAGAACGGACATTACTAATTCCACAACCCATTGTTTAATTACAAAAATATATACAGGGACAGGGCATCCCGTACAGGTTGGGACACACACATCTCAGCCATATATTTTGAGGATCAGGATAAGATGATTTATACGAACTTACCCATATAAGTCAAGTCTACCGACATACGTTCTACTAAACGTGGTACAACGTTTCAAATCATTCTAAATTTAAAAATTTCACAAGAAACAAAAAATCTTTAAAACCAATATTGTACATTATTTTCTTATATATTAAGGAAATGTAGTACTTTCAAATAAACAACATAAACATACCGAATCAGTATACCTAAAACAGTTTTTGTGCAATGTTAAAAAATATTGTATTGAGGGCCACTTTCAGTGGAATATATCTTGGTAGGTGTTCACCCTTGTATGTACATAGGTAAGTTGGTCTAAACCCTCTTTTTTTGATTGTAGGAGTATGGTGTCCCACCTATATCATATTAAAAAAAATGGTAATATAAAGTTACAGGTTTTAGAAAGTGCACAAACTTTAACGGAACATTCCTCAGGGAAAAAAACAGTTAAAATAAGTTTATATGAACCATGAATCATAGCCCGAAATACATTTCTTACATATAGAGCTTCCAATTAAAAAAAAACATATTTTTTATATTTTGGTAATGTTTAATAAAAGCTTTATGAAATTTATTATAGTAGTAGCTATTTTACTGTACATTACTTGATATTTATATACAAATACTTACTATAATTTTGTATTTCAGTTACCGAGCCTAAACCTCAAATTATATGCCCAAGACTTTCTTTGAAATATTACTAGAGAACTTGCTGAAACAAAACATTTTGGAAAAAATCAGTCTTGTAAAATTTTCCTATTTCTTTATATCACAAAATAAATTGAATTTCTTGATATATTTTCTTTTTGTTCTACAAAAGAAATTTTAATTTTTCAAAAGAATTTTAATTAAGTAGTAGGTTTGAAGAAATAGCTAAATCTGAATGAGGTTGATTTATAAAAATAATAACAAATAAACATAAACTCATTAAACATAAAAAAAATATGTAAACATTGCTTAACATTGTTTTCCCACAAATTAATTGAGACATAAAATGTAATTAAAACGCTTGAAACTTCAGGTAAAGTAATAAAAAAAATTAAAAAAATAGTAATTTTCAAATAGGAAATGGTTCTTTCAAACTTTTATTTTTAATGTATTCATATTATAGCAAACGTAAACTGTGTTTACATCTATTTGTTTAAGTTTTATTTATTTATTATTTTGAAGTATCTACCTTGTTCATATTTAGATATTTTTTTGTGTAATCCAATCAATAAAAATTCTTTTGTCAAACTTTTTATTGTAAAACAAAAGAAAACATGGTAATTATTCTGTAATTTACTCTAAAATCTAAAGGTGCATGTAAATTATAGCGAACTTTCGCAATCGTCGATGATCCGTTCGCAATGTCGGATTTCGGTTACAGATGAGGGTATAATAATAATTAGCGCCGCTAGTTTTATAGTTATTGCAGGACATTCCAGAAAAAAAGAAGCAAGTATGGTGTTCTAATTTGTTAAAAAAAAGAAGCAAAACGGGAGGTGAAGCTTTGTTAACGCATTTAACAAGTTACAATTTGGGCCAAGTTACAAATTTCTGTAGACTGTCTATGGAAGATTTTGAATTTTTGTTGCATTTGATAAGTCCCAGCATTTCTAGAAACTATACAAGTTTCAAAAAAGCAATTAAGTTTGGTAAATGCACAGCCATTCGTGAATACGCTTGCTACTAACTACACTGTCTACATTGAGCACCGATTTCCTTTGATGATTCACTGATTTACCGACAGGTATTGGAACATGCAGAAACCACAAACACCAACAAGTTTGTTCGCTCCCGTTTTGTTCTCCATGTAAATTACACTAAGTAAACGAATTCGTCCGTTTGCTTCTGTTCACTCTAATTTAAATGCACCATAAGAAAATGTATTTATTTGAAACCTTTTGAGTGAAATATACAGATATGGGTGGGATATAACCTACAGAATATATGTCATATCTTAAATGCTATGCCTACTGGCACAAAAGTTACTTTGTACCTATTCACAAAGAGACCTACTAATCTTGAGGTTAAATCTCACTCATAATAAAACATATCGATAGATATACATCAAGGCGTAGCTAAATTGTTTGTTGGCATAGACCTTAAAAACTACTAGGTCAATGTTTGTTGGTCATCGCACGTCTCACTAGAACTAATAAATTCGAAACCAGTCTATGTTGAAGTTCTGCTAACAAATCTTACTACTGCTTACTAAAAGTGTCAGCTCTAATTAAATGCTGGACATGGCATGTAGTCTGCAAAGCCTCACAATATTAGTATTTAAAAAGTTTGCAGAAACAGTCATATACATTAATGTCATGCATTAGGCTGACCTGCCATATGTAAGACATTGGTATTTTTTTTTGCTTTGCTGAAGATTGTCCCCTTAAAGTTTGTACTCTTCTTCCTGGAATACCCTTTGCATCTGTCAAATAAAAAAAAGTAATAGAACTTGTACATAATTAATATCAAATTAACCCAGTCCCTTGCTGAGTAGAAATTTTCTTTAAAGGTGACACTTATGGTGCAATCCTGCCTCAAATTGTTATGTGCGGCACTTTGACACGAAGAGCTGTCGAACCCACATGGATGACGGCTTCCAATGCTAACAAGGACAGGATAGGGTCAGAACTCCGTGCGATGGTGCAAGCACCTCCTGGATACAACATTGTAGGGGCTGACGTGGATTCTCAGGAGCTCTGGATCGCTTCTGTCCTGGGAGATGCACACCACGCGAAAATGCACGGATCCACTCCCTTGGGTTGGATGACACTCAGCGGAAGTAAGACCGCTGGTACGGATATGCACAGTGTGACGGCCAAAGCAGTCGGAATAAGCAGAGACCACGCCAAAGTTATAAATTATGCCAGAATATATGGTGCAGGGCAACATTTTGCCGAACGTTTATTGAAACAATTCAACCCCAGTATGTCCGAAACGGAAGCTAGAAGCAAAGCTAAGAAGATGTTCACTCTAACGAAGGGAAGGAAAGTGTTTTTCTTGAAACAGGAATATCTGCAAGAATTTGCTGATCAGCCCTACACGAAGTGGCAGGCTTTCGAAACCGCCAAGGCTTGTGGGAAAACGGTAGACGAAATGTTTCTCAGATCTAAATGGGTGGGGGGTACCGAGTCGGCTATGTTCAACCGCCTTGAAGAGATCGCTAACAGCGAAGAGCCATGCACGCCTTTTCTGAAAGGCAGACTCAGCAGAGCCCTAGATCCAAAAACCATGGCGGAAGATAGGTATTTGCCGACGAGAGTAAATTGGGTGGTGCAAAGTGGAGCAGTGGACTTTTTACACCTGATGTTAGTTTGTATGAAATGGATTTTAGGCGACAATATACGGTTTTGCCTTAGCTTTCACGACGAAGTTCGTTATTTGGTACCGGAACCGTACAAGTACCAGGCAGCTCTAGCTCTGCATGTCACAAATTTACTGACAAGGTCATTCTGCTCCTATCGGCTAGGCTTAAATGATCTTCCTCAGTCAGTTGCGTTTTTTAGCTCTGTCGAAGTTGATAAAGTTTTGAGGAAGGAGTCAAAACAGGATTGCATAACACCTTCGAATCCCCTTGGTTTATCTAAGGGTTACGGTATTGAAAATGGAGAGGCGTTGAATATTTACGAAGCTATAGACAAAGCTGGAGGAGACTACATGTGGTGGGGCGATAGGCGATCGGAAAAGAAAAGGTGAATATATTTGGTGTTTTTCTCTCTGCGATAGAAAATTCTTTAATTATTTTATTGTTTAAACGGTCAATTTAAAATACTGGACAATGCTTTGCCAATGAGAAATTTAATTGCAAAAAGAAATGTTCAAGGTATAAAAATATTAGTATTCAATGAATGACTGATACGGCCGAGTTAAGGAAATTTTATTTATTAAAGGGTTTACTAAAATTATGAAAAAAAAAATTAAAATAAAAATCGAATTTTTTTAAATCATGATTTTTAATTTTTGTTTTTTGTTTTTTTCCTCATATTTAAATACGTATTCTTTATGACCGACTTCTTCAAAATAAAAATGGTAATTTTTTAAAAAATGTCAAGATTTTAATCAAACCCTGATTTAAATTATATACTTATGAATTCGCAAAAAAATTACTTAGGTGATATTTCTTTCCTAAGAAAATCAAGTATCCCGGAGGAAATGATAAATATGATCCAAATATTATTTTAGAAATTTTATTTGTTTTCAAGATATCAGCTTAAGTTTTGATGTTGAAAATAATTTTTTAAATGTAATAATTTCATCTCTCTTCTTCTACCTCATTGTTATTGACATGAGTCTGCCTCAAGATCCGAATTATGTTTTCCCCTTGATTTATCTCCTGGAAAAGCTTGAGGTGTTCCATTTTCCTGTATATTCCCGGCATGTCACCCAGTAAATAAGTAGGTAACTCTTCACTTCCACCCCAATTCAAACCGTCCTTATAGAAATCGATAAAATATTTCGACATACTATCTAACCAGGCATTCCAAAAATATACCCATCGAATGTGTTTTGTGTCTAACTTTAACAACTCATTTTTTATCTTACTCAAATGTGGGGTAATATTATTTTTTATCTGTCCTATAAATTCCTCGACGTTTGATTGCTTCGTCCATTCAAAAATGTTCACGGTTTCGTTAACTAATGTCAAATGTGAGATGTATGGAGACGATAAGTACTTGTCCTTCATTTTTCTTATTCTTCGAAGTTGTAAGGAAATTGGTTGAATAAGAATGTTCTGGTCTCGTTCATGGACGGGTTTCTTATATTTATGGATGATGGAAAGCAAATTTATCTCCAAGATAAATAGAATGTCCACTAATTTACTTTGTTCGTAGACTACATCCCCGATTTTTTCCGAAGCTCTGAGATATTGGGTAAAGGGACCATTGTAGATGTTTTTGATGGATTGTATGACATTCATAATTTTGACATGTATTTTTTAACTTCAGAAACTAGTATTACCAAATTATAGAAATTTGAACATACTGTAATGGACTTTTTTCGCTAGGTGCAACATCACTTTTAATTAATTAATTGTTCATCATTAGAAGAGTATTAAATGAAGTCTGTTTCACACTTAGTTTGTTTTGAATTTAAATTAAAGCAACTGTAAATTATTACTCATTGTCATTGTTGTCTGCTTTGTGTGTCAAAGTTACATTAATAAGGTGAAATAATTTGATACCTATTCGAAAGCCTAGCAGCCTTTGATGAAATCTAAAAAACTTGATTTTAATGTGCACTATTTCTTTTCTACATAGATACAAAAATGTATTCTGATATAGGGAATAAGTATTGAATGGATTAAAAATATTTGAATTTGCGGAATAAAACATTACAATCATTTTCATGGGGAAACATTTAGAGTGGAAGTGGTGACACATATTGCTTAATTTACAATTTATCCACCTTACAAAGTATAAGATATGAAATGGATTAAATTAGCTGTATCATTTCAAATCTCTTTCAGAAATGTCAAGATCATCAGTAAGAAAGCAGGTGCTCATAGAAGCACTACAAGATGACGATTCTCTCCCTACGGAGAATCAAAAAATTGTCCGCGTACTCAAAAGCAGGGGAAACAACCTGCACGAGGTAGAAACCCCTGACGAATCCATCCTGCTCGTATCTATGCCGAAAAGATTCCGCGGAGGCGTTTGGGTAAAAAAAGGAGACTTTGTCTTAGTGGAACCCATCGAAGAAGGCAATAAGGTGAAAGCGGAAATAGTGAAAATTCTAAGCACCGATCAAATAAAGTACTATAAAATGAACAACGTTTGGCCGGGGGAGTTTTGTGTTGACACCGACGATAAGAAAAAACATGAAGGAGATTCTGATGATGGTCTTTTCGTAAACCCAAATAGGCCCACATTTAGTGATAGTGGATCTAGTGACTCAGATTCTAGTATTGATTCGGAGGGTGAGGACTGTGATAAGCGTGTGGCTTCTAGATGTAGTGACTCTGGTAGTGTGACAGAGGAAAAAAGAAATAAATAATAATGATTTTGTAACTTGTTAAGCATTTTGTTCCAAAATATTGTTTAATATATTATCTTTTTCTTAAAATTATTTTTCGTTTTGATATGTCAATATGAGAATTATCTACTAATCTGTTGATAAAGGCCATGAAGGCTTAACAAGTGTTGCACTACATGAAATAAACATTTTATCCATTGGTATATGAGAAACAATTACACTATGGTCTACAACTCTGTCCAACAGTGAATTACACCCACAATATCTAGTAAATGGTTAAGATCACTAACAGGTCGCTGTCTGCCAGGAGGTAGAAAGAATTAACAATAATTATTAAGATATTACAATTATATCATAGTCAGACATGTCAGTAACTTGTAGAAATGTTACTCGTCATTTATAAAATGATCTTTTTTTGAAAATAACGACATTTAAATTAATTTTCAAACACTGATACCTATAAATCAACTAAAAATGTATTTTCAACAATTTTTATCTAAATATACACTAAAAGTAAAAAGTAAAACATTTGCCACCACATTTGATAACAAAAATTAAAAGATCATGAAAGAAAATATTTTTATACAAAGGGATCACGCACAAAAAATGTAGGAGGTGATTCCATTCATAAAAATTAAAGTTCCTGTGTCACCAAAAAAAAAATCGAAATCTGATGTCCTCACAACAATTTTGGTGTTTTTTTTTTCTAGGAACTAAATAACTTAAGTGTTACAAAAAGGTCCTCTTAACATTAACTGTTAAAAAAAATGCATTTGAAACTTTGCCTAATATTTTGGCATTAATTTGGCAGCTCTAAACAAGAATATATAGTATAATTCCAAATAACTCATTGGACCCCAAAATTTCATATTTGAACTGTTTGAATTTGACTTGATTTGATTTTTGTTTACCAAATTTCACATTAGAACTGAAAATTTGAAGTTTGAAGTAAAAATGTTGAAATTGAAATTTCAAATTTGAATCGAAAATTAACAAAAATAAGAAAAACAGAATTTCCATCCTTTCCATCCACACTCTAAGACTTTTGCATTTTGTTCATATATTTTATTCGTTGGTACAGTAATAACTATAACAAATTAAAAAAATGGAAAAACATAAGTTAAATCTGTATAAATAATTCAGTTTTCAAAGTGTTATAGAAGCAAAAATAATCTATATTTAAATATTAAGAAAACTGTACCCAACATAAGAATTTTATCAAGTAGGTACCATTAATGTAACACTTTTGATAGACTTTAATTAGTCACAATGTTGGTTAAGGAGGCCCAAATTGATGCCATACATTTGCATCAATCTACCTGGCATCTACCTGCCTTGAAATTAATCCATTCTAATCCCGTTTTAAGGTGTTCTTTAATCTTTAATTGGGAAATGCCAATAATCTTATTTCCTTTGAAACTGCCCCATTAAATACCAATAAATTATTAAATATGTCAATTACATCTAAATTATTTTCAAACACAAGAGGGGATGATTAAATCAAATGATTTTCACCTTTTCGCAACCAACAGTTCCTGTGCCGTATTCAACTCCTTTAGTTGTCATTTGAGTTTCGTTTTTGATTCCTTACTAGAACATGTCTGTCTCTACCTTGAAGAATCCAGTTTTCAACAACTTACCCAGAGACGATTCTCCACCAGCTGAAAATCAGAAAATTGCTCGAGTGGTCAGGGTCAGAGCTATGAACCTATTTGAGGTAGAAACCCCTGAAAAATCCGTCCTGCTGATGACGGTTCCCAACAGATTTCGTGAGGCAATTTGGGTGAGGATTGGAAACTTTGTCGTCGTTGAGCCTATCAAGGAAGGTAACAAAGTGAAAGTGGAAATGGTGAAATTGTTGACCGTTGAGCAGATATGGATCTATAAAATGGATAATACTTGGCCTAAGGAGTTTAACATTTGCCTTAATTATCTTTGTGTAAACACAAACAGACTTCGGATTAACTTGAGTAGATCTAATGATGTGGCTTCTAATAGTGACTCGGAGGATGACAGTGATGATTCGGAGCTGACAGAAACTTGTGATTCTGACTACACTACTGATTCAGACGGAGATAGTAGCGGTAAGCAGACTTGAAGACAGTGGAAAATAAGTTTTGAGCATAGATTTGGATTGTTCAGTGTTTTGCTATAAATTCATATATCGACCATTTGTACATAAAATTATAGTTGTTTTCACACATTTACAAAATGTATTTTTTATAAACAATGAAACATGTATTTTTTTTTCTAGTATCTATGAAATTAAATGAATTTGTATATCTTATATTGTGAAATTAAAATATTAATACAAAATTTTGATAATATATGAGAGTTATTTCCAAACACAACAGATCCGTTTATATAAACTTTATCGGAAACATCATTGACAAGATATTGCTTAACTGAAAATTTACTGGGACATGGATTAGTCAAGAAAATAGAGAATTGATTGTTGAATTTTACAATGATGCTCATGGGCGTAGCCAGATGAGGGCCACGGCCCCCCTAATTCTTGTTTCATGCTGCAATTTTCAAAAATTACATTTATTACTAGCCATTCCTTCCATATAGTTTTAATTAATATAAAAATGTAATAAAAAATAAGTTTACCTACGACCACTACTGTAAATACTTAAAAACATACCGTCTGCGATCGATGTAAGATTCCTATTACGTACGGTAAAAAAATCGCAGCTTGGTAAAAAAATCGTACAGTTTTCCTAGCAACCGCCTGGCAACGGTCAATACAATACTGTTTGTGCGTGATGTTGTTTTCATATAACCCCCGTGCATATAACCCCCTACGCAATAGGTCCCATAACGACTCGCGCTTGTGATAGAAAATAGTATGTGCAACTTGTTCCGAAAAGTTGCCATAGCACCACTTGGGCGCCCGCATGGCGCTATTGGCAACTTTTCCTCACTCGTTACACAATGTAGTATTGTCTCATAAATATACAGGGCCTTTCATTAAAAATAAACAAATTTGTCATACAGGGTGTTTTTAAATGAAGTAGTAAAAATGGTACCAGTGAATGTAGAGCTAAAAATAAAAGGATCGAAGTAAAAATACCTTATATGAAAGTTGCACCCCTGAGGCGATATAGGTACCGTCTTAAAGGAGGGGATTGAAATTCACATTTTAATTTTTTTCTTTAACATGAGGAATGCTAGAGACACGAAACTTGATTTGAGCATCCTACTAATAAAGAGACAACTTTTCAATATTTTTTCGATCATTGGCGTATTTTATAAAGGAGTGAAACAGTCAACCCCATTGTAATATTTTATTAGAAATTTTTTATTTCCATTTAGCTGGAGTTATCAAAAGTAATTATAAAACACAACAATATTCATTGGTACCCAAGTTTGCTTTTAAAAATTTGTGCTCTATTTTGCGTAATTCTAAAGACTTTTAGAACGTAAAGGTTCTAAATATATTGCATGTAGCACTTGTACTTTACAAACTAGAATATACATCGATTGTTTGGAGTCACATGTATAATGCTTATAATATTCAATTAGATAAAATACATGGAAACATTTAAAGACTATTCATGTTATTAATTATGGAAATTATCCTCCTCGTGGTGTAGACCTTAAGAATTTTTCTTTCTTGGTTAAATGATTTCCGGGCTGGTTGCCAAGTCGGCGATTTACAACTCTTGACGTTTCGAGAGACATATCGCTCTCTTCAGAAGTTACTCTGATACTACTAATCTTGTCACTATTTATATTTGATGTGGTCACTGATCCTTTTATTTTTTAAGTCAAATTTGGCCAAACCTGTACATCCAGTTGCCATTAACTTGCTATACCTACTGTAGAATTTTGAAAAACATTGTGTCTCCTGCCTTGAACCAACTAAAAACATGATGGATATTGCTGAACTGATGGAAAAAATCACTTACGTAGTCTCACGTATTTGGAGTAGATAAAACATTTTTTTATATTCTACTCATCCCAAATTTTCACGTTTTAGTACTAATCCTAGTTCAGTATGGGAAAAAGATAAGACAATACAATTTAAATAATTTTAATAATAAAAAAAAATTAAGCAGTTTCTCTTAATTTTCTAGCAATATTTTTCTGTACTATACTCGTTATATTTCCGTCCACATTTGCAAGTGGCTGATTTCGTCTTATTGCCAGCTGAAAAAAAATAAAAATCATAAGCCACGGCTTCCCCTCCTATAGAAGAACTTAATTTACCTCAATTTGTTGTACCAACTTTATTTCTTCCGCTCCTGATATAAAATTTGTGGCTTTACACGACGCAGGACTGCCAAGCCTACCCACTCTTCCAATTCTATGTATATAATCAGCCGCATATAACGGAAAATCATAGTTTAAAACGTGCCTAACTTGCACAGTATTTAGTCCTCTACTACCGATGTCTGTGGCTGACAGTATCTGAGCATCACCTCTGACAAATTGGTTCCACTGTTCGACCCTAATATGATAGTTCATGTCCCCATTTATATTAGCACAAGTTACACCATTTTCCCTTAGAAAGAGTGCAACCCAGTTGCAAGTTTCATTCTTATTTGTGAAAATCAGCATGGGACTATTATTGCTCTTGGCTATCTGGAGTAAATGTGGCGGTTTTGAAGACCTTGTTAGTCGAAGGAATTTTTGGGTAATGTTGAGCAGCGGTTTGTGAATTTTTGGTGAAACCACATGCTTTAATGTTGATTCTATTGGAATCAAGACATCAGGCAATTGTCTAGGAAGTGTGGCGGAAACCAGAATTATTTGTGATTGAGACACTCTTTTTAATAAGCTGTTCATTCTTTCGATGAAGCTGTCATCTATCAATGTATCTGCTTCATCTAAAACTGTACACTGCACCTTAAAAAAAAAGTATAAAAATATATCTTGGGCACCACTTAATATAAAAAACAAAAGTACCTCATTCAACTTGTAAATTCCGACACTCGAGAGTTTTCCCAGAGCACCTGGAGTGGCAACAAGAAGATCAATTTTTTCAAACTCAGGATTCATCATAATTTTTTTCGTTCTTCCTCCTACAACTATCTTCACACTGAGTCCAGCAGATGCTGCAAGAATTTGTGCGACTTCCCCAACTTGGTAAGCCAGTTCCCTATTTGGAACAATGACTACAGCTTTGGGAGTGTTTAAATTTGACGCCTCATTTCCTATCAGTTTCTTTATTATTGGCAAAAGATAAGATATCGTTTTCCCACATCCAGTTTCGGCAGCTAACAGCACATGGCGTCCTAAAAAGATATAATAATAATTGAAAGTAGTGTTACGAATTTTGGCAAATTGCCTGACTCTATAGTTGTTATCGCTCTATACTGAAATTCTGTTGCTTTTTTAATATCTTGTTTATTTAGAACACTTATAATATCCTTATTTAATCCACATTCTTGAAAGGAATACGTTTCTTCTGGGATTTTATCTACAAATGGATGAACTGTAAAAAAGTCGTTTTTAGCTTTCGAATGATTCCATCCTTTTGAGGCCAGGGGAACTTCTTCCAATTTACTGTAATACGTTGAACTGTAATGATCCAATTGCTTTCGCTTACAGCTAATAAGCAGTTGATCATTTTTATTTTTTATCTTGGGAACTGTCGAGTAAAAATTAGCACCATTTTCAAAATTTATCTTTAAAACTGTATTACACACCCTAGTTATTCCTAAGGACATTGTACAATTTACAGGAAACCATAAAGTTAGGTTACTCTTCTTATTTGTTGGTTAGAATTAAAGTAGCGCAAAGTTAACGCAGTTTTGTGATTCCACAAAGCCACATTTCATTACTCTTTGAACTACTACAAAAGCGTATTCCATCGTTCTGATTACGATCGATGGCGTATTTCTTAACTAGATTTTTTCCGCATACGATTTCTTATGTAAAAATTCAGTGTTCATTTCATAGGATCTTAATTTGGATGATCGATTATTTCCTTTCATACAACGTACATAACACAAATTTGTATCTACACATAGCTAAAGATTTTCGCACACGCTTTTGCAGTCCTTTTTATATATTACATTTCTCCCCACAGCCAAGCTCCTCGTATCCACTCTTTTCTTGATTATTAATAAAAAATTATAGATTAGGTCAGGTTACGTTTTTCTGTTGTACGACGGTAAGACTAAGCCTGGATGGAGTCATTACAGGCTGTGGAAAACATAGCCCTCCGCACGGCCACCGACGCGCCCTGGTACGTAAGAAACACTGACATATTACGAGACTTACAATACACAAACGCTACACAGACAATAAGACAAAACGCGGAGAAACGATTTGACGTAGCCGCTAGACATGACAATCCCCTCCTCAGGCAAGCCGTTGACTACGTACCCGACGTGACCGACAAACACAAAAGACCTAGACACCAACTTTTTGACCCTGGGTGACCACCCCAATGACCCCCCCCCTGCCCGCTAACCTTTTCTGTTTCAGAGACAGCCAGGATCAAGAAACGAAGACAACGACACACACACACACACACACACACACCCCCCATACCCTCCTTAACCCTCCCCTCCCGCGCTAGCCTAAGGGCCACCTTAGCAAAGCGCATCCCAGGCTGCATAGCCGCACTACCCTACCCAACCATACCACACATAAACATGACACTACCCCCGGGGTTTACACAGACGAGCCGGCGAAGCAAGAAGAGCGCCAGAAGAAAGGGCCCTAGCCGGCGGGGCCCAGCCAGGACAAAAGGAGGTCCCACAAAGCGCCTACACCGGCCGCATTTGCGGTCGGGGTAGACGACGGATGGGGCCCACCTACGAAGGCTGTCCAGGCCTACACGAGATGAGGCAGGATAAAGAGGGATAATCCCCCTCGATCCCAAATCATTGAGGCCAATTTCTAGCCATGGAATAATGGCGCGCGGCGGATGTTGATGGTCACGTGGTTACTGGTTACAACGAATCCATAATCACAGATGCATGTGAATTCAAACTAAGACCAAAATCGTAAAAATTATTTTACATTTGGCCATGATTTGGCCTATCACATAAGAAACACGAGGGAATGCGCGAAAATGTTAGCTATCCTAGGTATTAGTTCAGAACAAGAATTTAAGATCACAAATCATTGAGGCCAATTTCTAGCCATGGAATAATGGTGCATCATTAGTTGCAAATTGCAAATATGAAAGGACTAGGGGTGTCCTTTTTTAATGAGACAAATACTGCAAGTTTTGTGGCAAGTTAAATCTCAATCGATCTAAAGCTTCGAGCATATACTACTGGAGGCAGCGTCCGGTGGCCAAAAGTGTAGCGGAGATTGTGGAGAGAGAGAGAGGTATAAGAGAGTATTTGCTATCTCTCTCCTGCAGCATGCGATTGGTTCTGCCGTGAACAGCTGCTTCTGTCGTTGACAGGGGGAAATGACGGTAGCCAATCGCGTGCTACTAGAGAGAGAGATGGCATATACCCTCCTATATATCACTCTCTCTCTATACAACCTCCCGTACACTCTCGGCCACTGGAACGCTACCTTCAGTAGTATATGCTAAGACCTGAACCATAAAAATACTAAAAATGATTCTACCTTCGGTCGGGGTAGACGATGGACGGGGGCCCACCTTCACGAGGCCTACAGATATAAGGCAGGACAAAGAGGGATAGTCTCCCTCGGTCCCAAATTATCAAGGCCACGTTTAACGCCAAAAATAACGGCGCACATTCGGCATGTCGCATAGATAACGCGCTATACTCCGNTAAAATGGATCAAAGTGCCTTTTATAGCAAACCGTAAAAAATATTAGATGTTATGTTTTATTATCTTTTTCATTATTTTCTATATCTTGTTGCCTTTTACGCAGACACGCCAATGGATTTTCGTTCCACAATAATTTAAGTTCAATATTAATTGCAAATTACAATATGAAAGGAATAGTATATATACCTATAATTATGTTTAATATACAGTGTTCTTTTTTAATGACATAAGTAGGTACTCCACGGTTTCTGGCTACAACTTAAATCTGAAGAACTCTCCTATGTAGGTTTCAGCAATGCCTTCAACTTAAAAAAATGGATGTTCTTACGAACTTTAAAGTTTATGTTTAAGTAGAAATTTTAGTATCTTCCGAGATTATTTCTGAAGGTATGTACCTACTAACTTACATATACATATATTCTCCAAAAAAAGGTATTAAAAACGTAAATAAAAGATCAAAAATTAATTTAGTGTATATTTAAAATGTATACATACAGTATAAGTTTTTACATTTTACTAATTAGAGCTAATATCCATTCATTTACTTATCATTTTCAAAATCAGCTGGGTTTTTAAGCATTAGCCTATAGTGTTCCTTTTCTATTTGATCATAAACCAAATACCCAATAGCAATTGCTGAAAAGTTGAATCTTATTAGTTATTTCTAAATTTAGGTGTATCAACTGTGTTGTAATTCTCATATCGTACTTTCTTTTTGACATCTATAGAGCTCTTAGATTTTTTTAATCTTAAATTTAGAAATAAACAGTTAATTAAACAATTGAAAAAAATGTAATCTAAACACCATTCTATTTGAAACTGGACAAACTAATATATAACAGTAATGCTTACGTGGAACGACATAGAGAATGCTTTCACCTATTCTTCTAATAGTATTGGGAACACCATGCGTAATGATTCCTGCAAATGCCTTTTGCTCAAAGGGAGATAGTCTGTAGGTAATAATACCTCTAAGTTTGAATAATTGTCCAAAACCGTGACCCATTATAAATTCACTAAAAAGCTGCAACAGTTACATAACAGGAATTACAAATGTATAATTTAAAAAGATGTTTATAAAATAAATAAATCAATATATATTTTATTCAAAAATCATAATTAGCAATGGACATATATTATAAACGTGCAAATATAGATATACTTTTAAACTAACCTTTTGGTGTTGGTCAAAAAATTGATCTCAAGTGGTATACGGCTTGTACCTAATATCTCGACAGTCGTTTGTTTTTTGACCAGTGAACAAACATTGCTCTTGGAAGTATCTGAACTTTGGGATGGAAAATGTTTGCGTAGACATACATCGACAAACATCTGCGTAATCTATGGACGGACATGATATAGGATTCAATACAGGGTCGGAAAGTCCCCATGGTTCATCTGCCGTTACGTGAGAGAGATAAAGAAAGTCATAGAAATCCGTGCAATAGAGAAAGATGGCTATAATCCACTTCTTATTTGTGGAGGGGCGAAATGGGCGGTGACTATTAGACGCCTTCATTATAGCCATCTTTCTCTATCGCACGGATTTCTATGACTTACTTTATTGCTCTCACGTAACGGCCGATGAACCATGGGTACTTTCCGACCCTGTATAGTAAAAACAAGTCGCATAATTCCTGTTTATATGTACAAATATTTAGATTAGATGATTAAAGAAGGAAATTTAGTGCTACTTTTAATTTCTGTAAATATGTGTGAAAATGTTTATGATCTGGTGAACAATGTTTTAAACATAAACTTTTATTATTAAATATATCAGTTCAAAAAAGATTTCCAGTAACTATGACTTGAGATGAATCACTGACTGTTTTTCGATTACAGATAACTGTTTCCTAATGGAACAGGAGCAAATGTTATTAAAATGACCACCAGGGCTAGGCTCTATCCCTTACTCAAAGGTGGAAACACCCTCAGTTTAAGGAATAAGCGAACGCTTATCAAGGTGGTACTTCAACCGCAGCTAACCTACGCCTCCACGGCGTGGGGTCACGCGGCAAAAAGCCACTTAAAGTCATTACAGGCTGTGGAAAACATAGCCCTCCGCACGGCCACCGACGCGCCCTGGTACGTAAGAAACACTGACATATTACGAGACTTACAATACACAAACGCTACACAGACAATAAGACAAAACGCGGAGAAACGATTTGACGTAGCCGCTAGACATGACAATCCCCTCCTCAGGCAAGCCGTTGACTACGTACCCGACGTGACCGACAAACACAAAAGACCTAGACACCAACTTTTTGACCCTGGGTGACCACCCCAATGACCCCCCCCCTGCCCGCTAACCTTTTCTGTTTCAGAGACAGCCAGGATCAAGAAACGAAGACAACGACACACACACACACACACACACACACCCCCCCATACCCTCCTTACCCCTCCCCTCCCGCGCTAGCCTAAGGGCCACCTTAGCAAAGCGCATCCCAGGCTGCATAGCCGCACTACCCTACCCAACCATACCACACATAAACATGACACTACCCCCGGGGTTTACACAGACGAGCCGGCGAAGCAAGAAGAGCGCCAGAAGAAACGGCCCTAGCCGGCGGGGCCCAGCCAGGACAAAAGGAGGTCCCACAAAGCGCCTACACCGGCCGCATTTGCGGTCGGGGTAGACGACGGATGGGGCCCACCTACGAAGGCTGTCCAGGCCTACACGAGATGAGACAGGATAAAGAGGGATAATCCCCCTCGATCCCAAATCATTGAGGCCAATTTCTAGCCATGGAATAATGGCGCGGCGCGCGGTTCAACACGATCCATTACCAGACAAAAAGTTAACTGATTCGATTTTTGAAAACATGAAAACTCCTAATGTCAGTCAACTAAATCCGAAGAAGAAGAAGAAGTTCAATAATATTCTAACCAGAGAACACTATATCAATGGTATAATGTTCTCTGATTCTAACCCTGTAATTTTATTGTTTACATTTTATTTAGATTTTGTAACGAAACAAACAGAATGCCCATAGCTCAAGTAAGTTCTAAGATATATTGCATTAACTATTTGAAAAGGAATGTTTTAGTTTGCAGAAACCGAATCCAGTAGTGATTCTTCCAAATCGAAGACTTTTGTATTCAAAGATGAAGGACATACACTGGGTAATGCCCTAAGATGTGTTATATCTAATTAGTAAGTATTTACAGCTCTTTTTATTTGATTGAATAGTATTGTATTGTATATTATTTCTTTTATTTAGTCCAGATGTACAATTTTGCGGTTATACTGTTCCACATCCTGCTGAATCTAAAATGCATTTTCGTATTCAAATGCATAAAGGCAAAGCAGTGGATGCTCTAAAGAGGGGCCTGGAAGATCTCGTTAATGTTTGTGATAATACATTAGAAAAATTTGAAGAAGAGCTACAAAACCAGTAATAAATTTGAGCTAGAAAAATTAATTTAAGGTTATGTACATACACCTTTGCAGTATAATTTTTTTATATTTATTTCATATAAATTGATAAAGTGTAAACCTTAATTTGGCTTCGGTTTGTATAGATAATTTACAATTATTTAAAATAAAATGTGTTAATGTCGAAATGTTTTTTATAAGGCTTTTTGCCATTTCCTTAAATACCTCAACTAAGGTTAAAATAACTTACTAGTCATTATTTATAACTGTAGCAATACTGGCAAATTTTAGATTAATATCAGGAGCATTGGCTTTAAGTACTTTAACATCTTCGGGTGCCAATTTCTTTTCACTTTGTTTTTTGGTCAAATTTTCTAAATAGTTCTTTCTTTCTACCTGCGCTTGAACTAAAGCGGATTCTTCAGCTTCATTCAGTTCCTTCAAACGAGGGTCCATACCCAGCCATTCACATTTGACGATTTGTTCTACTCTCCATCTTTTAGTAACATCTGGTTCTAGCAATAAAGCGGTTAGTAGTTTCACTTGGTCAGTCAAATAATCAACAACTTTAGACCTGAATTTCCAGCGCCTATTCATCTGCTGTTCATGTAGTTGTCGAACGTTGGTGTCATCAAAGGGCATAGCTTTGTTAATCATTATATAGAGTATTACCCCTAGCGACCAGATGTCTGCTATTTTAGGGTGATACGGCATGCCACGAAGCACCTCTGGTGCCGCGTATGATAAAGACCCACAGTAAGTCGAACTTGTGACTCTCCTCCCTCGGGCATCGGTTACAAACCTAGCAAATCCAAAATCTGCTAATTTAATATTGAAGTTGCTGGTGATTAAAGCATTTTCACATTTCAAGTCGCGGTGCGCTATATCCATATTGTGTAAGTATTGTACCGCTAAAGCTAGCTGACGGAACCATACCCTGGCTTGTGGTTCGGAGATCGGACCTTTCTTTAATACATACTCCAATAAATCTCCATTTTCCGCATTTCTCATGAAAATGAAGTATTTAGTTTTTCTTTGAAAGATACTGTGTATGTGAATTATGTGCGGATGGTTAATTCTAACTAGTATGTCTAATTCCCTAGGTAAAAACTTCTTTACAAAATCTTTGGGAGCTTTACTCACATCTAATATCTTACAAGCTAATGTCTTAGGTTTTTCATTATCGTCGGTGGTTCCGATAAGTTCTGCTAAGTATACAGAGGCATATGAGCCCTCGCCCAGTTTATTTAGTAATTTGTATCCTCTTGACAATAAGGTTCCTTCTTCTGATGGTCTGAGAAAGACATTAGTGGTGGATTTTTTTTTAGCTGTGGTCATGCTCGAGGGATTACTGGAATTTTGAACATTTTTTTTTTTGACAATCGAATGACTTAATGTCACATTTTTCCAAATGAAGTATTATGGGTCTATTAATTTCAGGATGTGATTAGTTCATATTTCATTTCTACTTTCAAGAAAAAAAAATAAAAAATTAAAATGAATAAACATTAGAAGTAGTACGTGACTTATTACAATAAAATAAATTGTTGGTTGCTATATATAAAGAATAGGTAAAATATACAGGGTATCTGCAAGTAAGCGAACCATACTTCATTGGCGTTGCCGAAAATGAACAGTCTATCTGGCATCTCTATGTTTTAGGTAACAAATAACGTTACCTAAAACATAGAGATTGACACGATTTTGCCAAAACAGAGTTGTTTTATGAAACTTCACTTTATTTTCTGTGATGTTAACTTGTCACTAAAAATGCATTATAAAAGACAAAAATTAATTGTTCAAACGTCTACTGCTGTTGTCAGTTACGAACTGCTGCCTGTATTTCCATCTCATTCTACAAGGGTGCTCTCTTGATAATTTGTGCCATTAGAGATGAATGACAAGAGGGACCTTCTAATTGTTGACATTGCCCACAGTTTTAGAGTAAGCTAGGCCATCTGTGTCAGAGGGCAGCCGGATCAATGCCATCAAATCTAAGAAAAGGGTGCTTCAAAGAGAGACAATTCATTGCTTCAATGTAATAATAGGGTCATAAAAGTAAGAAATATAATAAAAAATAATGTTATAAATGCATATATCGTCAGATCCGAAGGTGGTGTCTCGTTTATTAATATTAAATAGTGCAGTGTTCACGATTATTAATGACTACCAATTCAGTGGCACATGGCGAGGAACAGTGGCGTAACTAGGGGGGGGGGCTTTAGACCCCTCCCCCCCAATGATCTGTCACGCGATTTTTATCATAGCCCGCGCCTACGCCGGCCGCTAGGCGCACGGACAGACTTCGGCATCAGTCAAGATTACTAAATGGACTGACTTTCTACGTCACTGGGTATAAAGATTGCATCGCGTACTTGATAAATGCATCGCGGTCTCTCATAATTTGTGTTGAGCTGAGAGTCTGTACATGGTAGTCTGTACATGTTTTGTGGTTATGCATTTTAATTTTGGCTATTTTCTGTTGTGATTTTTGAGATATTTTTTATTCTAAGTTACCAAATATAAAACCATTTATATACAATAAAAAAACAATATATTATAAATATAAACAACATGTATAACTAATAAACTAATATTTTCATTTTGAAACCGTTTTGCTGCAAATTTTAAAAATTTTTAGCCCCCCCTCCCCCCAACTTTACATTCTGGTTATGCCACTGGAAAGGAACCAATAGTTTGCTAACCATTACTATTTTCATTCGAACACTTTTTCGACTATCAAGTAATTCGAATAGTTTGGTACCATCGAATATTTCAATAGTTTTTATTCAATATTGGCCATCACTAGTTAGTAGTACATTTGAACTACTATATTAAACATTTGACAGCTAAGTGAAATTGTAAGTTCTTCAAAATAATCTATTAATTGTTTTGCATTGTAATAGTAACAACTTTCATTTACGCTTGAGACGTGCAATTTCCTGTACAAAATACAGTTCCAAGAACTATTTACTGACAAACATACGGGAAAGTCTTTACGAGGGTTGCCTTTTATATTTTGGGAATAGAAAACAAAAAAAGGAAATTAATTATCGTATATGGCTTTATTGTTTTTAAAAATGTTTCTATGAAGATCAATACACTTTTGTATGTGCTTGAACCAGTTTTCAAAGCACTTCTTCCATTCGGATTGAGGTACCTTAAAAACATGCATTTTGAACTCACAACTGCTTCTTCAGGCATCGAAAAACGTTGACCTTATAATTTATTTTTGATGTGGGAATAAAAGTCATTGGGTGCTAAATCAGGACTCATCAATTTGTTTTTGTCAGTTCTCTTGTTTGAGCATAATTTCTGCTATTTTTCAAATTATTGAAACCGAATTACGCCAGGCAATAAATCGATTTTATTATTTTTTTTACTCGAAAACGGTGCATCATAAGAAAAACAGTCAAGGTACCTTTTCTCTTCCAAATTGGACAAGGAATTCAAAAATAATTTTTATTTAAAAAAAAAACAGTGGTGTATAATTTTTTTTTCTTTAACAATATTTAGACGTGCCTGGGCGCACGCCACTGGTGGAATTGAAAACAATATTTTTATCGTAAAGCATGTATTGTTGTTAACTGTCAAAGCCTGTAAATATTTTGAGCGGTTTCCGCAATATTTATAAATCTGCATTTTTTTATTAAAACTTTAATACCCTGTAGATCAGAAACTAAGCGTTTTCGGAATATAGTATATTAAGGAAATATATCACAAATCAGTTGTACTATAGCATCGACTGACCAAACACCCTGTAGTGGTTTTTGATGATCTTCATCGCCAAAAGTCGAAATAAGTTCATAGATGCACTGTTGTTGATATCCATTTCAAAAGTTGTCAAAAATAGTCGCACGGAAATGTTCACGACTTAATTCCATTTTTTGGCCAAGATGAATTTTTCAAGTCACTAAACACAAATAGAGCCTGGTCCATTCTGAATAAGTATACCGATAAATAAAAAGTTGACCTTTACCATAGGGACCTCGGTTATCAAATGGCAGCACCAGGATTGTCTATTCCCGAAAGAAAAAGGTCTATTTTACTTTAATATGAATCGACAGCATATTAATGTCTCTGGAATCTCAGTCTATGGAGGCAAGAAAGAGAAATGCTTAGTTTTAAAAGCGGCAAGAACGGAAACCTGCTTTTTCTCTGGAAAGGTGCAATAGGTATACTTTTTTTATAGTAAATGAAGTAGCATTACATAAACTTGTATTTTCCAAAAATTTCTGCCTATAAAAAAGAAAATATTGCCGTTTCCGATATTCTTAGTACCTTCTGCGACAAATAAGGTACCTTTGAAATATGATCAACTCGCTTGTGGACACCCCGTTTTCTACAGGGTCTAGTCTACTAGAGAGACAGAAAAGAAACAATATTTATAATTACAGTGTATAATATAATAAAAATACTTCACAAAATATCAGTTACATATAAATTGATAAAAAATGCAACAGACGCCCAATCGTTGCCTTTATGTGTAAAATAAACACTTTTCAACATGAATACAGAACGAATTTGGTATCTTCCGCTAAAAAAAAAATCTGCAACTTTACACATAACCAACAACACCTTAAAATACTTAAAATTTAGTTTAGAATATGATAAAATTACAGTACAAATTATACAATGTGATGTGCACTGTATCCCGGAACAGAAGTATCCCACATCATAAACAAATAATTTGTCAATAACAATTATTTTACATTTAGCATTCAGCTTATTAGTTACTTACTTAATACGAATAAATATTTTTTGTTTTTTGGTCAAATTTGTAAATTTCTCTAAAATCTATCTACATCGGTGGTAACGATTATGATTAGTACAAATACTGTATAGATAAATATTTAGCATAGAAAAACTACAATTCACAAAAAGTCAAACTCGCCAATTTGCCCTACATCAATTCATGCCATAAAAAAATGACACTATTATGTATATCTCAAAGAATATGCTACATTCACATAGTTAGTCTCGATATTTAGTATTAACATGTATCGTAAAAATTTGGTAAAATTTATAAAATATATGCATTATCATTCATCAATACAAAAAGAAAAAAAATTAAAAAATGTATTGTTTATAAATAGAAAACATGAAATAACTTCGATATATGATCCTAATGTAATTTGGATTCCCTAAATAAACGACTAAAGTAGTACTTAATTATTTTCTGAGTCATAGGTTATCCATTTACGCCAGTATATGACAATTATTTTTTTGAGCAAAATTATTTTTATTTACACTTGTTAACTTTTGTCATTCTTTTATGACAAAACTATGTATAGGATAATTATTTGGCACAATTTACAGTCATTAGGGTTTGGTTTTATGTTTTATATAAATTATTTACTTTTTTCATAGAAAGTTTATAGAGTAAAAAATATGCTGATATAATACAATCATGAATCAAATTGGTATATCCTCGTAAATAAACCAAAACTGTTAATTTTTAAAAATGACAAAATGAGACAAAAAACATTTATGTGCAGGTAGAAAAATTTAAAACATGATTTATTTTGTTGTTATACTAGATTTATATGAATTGTTGCTGCCAAAATTAGTTTTTTTTTTAGTCGTTTCCTCCTTAATACAATTCCCATTTGTATATAGTTTTTAACCACGTCACTTTAGAGGTGGGAAACAAAAATTGCACTCGCTTCGTATACCGCCCATATTTATTCATATGGTTTTTTACAAAAAAAACCTGAAAAATAGGATCTGCCCGTTTTTGTGAAGAATTATCTACTACTACTAAAAGATAAAATTATAAAGTCAAAATTTGTCACAAAGGTAAAATAAATTCTCAGGATTCTGCTGCTATTTTCTTAGTACTGAAATTGATTTGTGATTTATGTATATAAGAATTAGCTTTTTATGCGAAGTTCAAATCAATCCCACTTCTGATTTGATGTTTGTTTTAATACTGAAGCCGCAGAAACCTGACAAATCCAAGGACTCCTACGCAATTCTCTAAGGCAAATCTGGGGAAGACATGTCATAAATACTAGATATAATACTAATGTATATGTTCCGGTTACTTTTTTTACTTAATAGTTAATTATTATCAGACGTGTCTTTGCGGAACCGGAGAGTTGGTTATGGAGGCTGGTAGAGATCTCACCGGCTTGTATTCAACGTGACGAGAGGCACCCTCTCCCTCTAGGCTTTCCATCCTCATCATCTGGTCAAGAGAAGGCAATGTCAGTGAAATGTTCAAGATCGTAAGCAACAAAATGCTTAGAAATGAAATTACTGAGTTTTTTCTGCAACTTCGTAGCTGTATTTGCCTCAAGGTTAACAAATTATAAATGAATAATAAAAATATTATAATAAAATGATTAAAAATAATAACAATAATTAAAAATTATAATAAAAAGAAATGAAAGAAGAAATTTTTTAGTATAAACTCGATTTCATTTTTAAGCAATTATTAATTCTCTTCTAAGTACTGCGAATATGTACGACATTCAAATCAGCCGTCTCTTCTAATATTTAAGGATTATTTTTAGAAAGCCATACGTTTCTAGAATTATTTTAGCAGCAGCCAAAAATCTGTATATTATGTGTAACCAATGCTATATTGTGTACGAGTCATGAGAAAAATAATCGATTAACTCTCAAGCGAAAAACTAGTTCTAGACAAATGCATTTTCTACAAAAAAAAATAACACTATTCTACAGTGTAGATGTACTGTGTGGTACTTATGGTGGAAATTGCACGTTGATGTTTCAAGACACCATACTGAATAATATTCATTTCTCTTAAGATATTTTTTTCTAAAAAATTCAGAATTGATTTTTAGATGCAGAAGAAAAAGGTTAGTACATATGAACTATTACGACTTACCGAAATTTCGACTTTTATTTGCGCTTATTATATGCAATTTCCTTCACAAACTACCATTCCAGAAACTATTTACCGAAAAACACACCTAAATAGGCCTTTATTTTACTTTAATAAGAATCAACAGTGTATTATTAAAATCTCTGGAATCTTAAAGTCCACGGAGGCATGAAAGAGAATTAGTAAGGTAAGTTTTAAAAACCAACACCAAGATTTACTACATGTAACACCTAATATTAAGTTTTTTTAGGAAAATGAATAAAAGAATAAGAATTTGCTTCTACTTAGTCGTTAATCATTTTAGCATAAACACAAAACAGAATCCAATTTGTTTAATTTACTTACTAATTTACTAAATTTTTTTTTTTTTTTTAAGTGGACACTGACGAATGTGTATATATTTTCAATTTTGGTAGAAGCAAAAACTGGGAGTGTTAGAGAGTTAGTAACTTACACCCATCGAGCTGTTAAGAGCAGAACCTGTCAGTTCACCTGTCTTTTCCGGATTCAACGGACAAACTAGGTCTCCATAGTCCGCTTCTCCTTTTGATTTCTTTCTTTTCAAGGAAAACTGAGACTTCTTTGCAATCTAAACATGATTGAATTTTTAATAAAATATGTAATAAACTAAGTTTTTAAGCGATTAATATTAAAATACTATTTTCCGTTACCTTTAACTTGGAAGATGGTGTAAGCGGAATATATCCCATCGTTGCCTCGAGTTCCCTCTTTTCCTGAATGATATCCTTTCCCAGCAGTTCTTTAAAATGCGTGTTGAGATGCCGTCGCAATAATGTCTTTCCTGGAGGTATCGACAATAAAGTTGCGAGCAATTCTGCGTTAAACTTTGGTTCCAAAACCATTAGACCTCCATGCACACCTGCTCCTCTTAGATTGGGGGCGTATTCTGCCAGGTCTACGGCTCTCAGCCATTCCATTACCCTAGAATTACGGAAACCATTAGAAAACGAAGATTAACTTAACATTTGCTAGTACTGAATCCTAAAATGTCCGGTATATAGAGGTATATGTAGATTAACTTCTATCTCTTTAGCTGAAATCATGTAGGAAATATATTTTAGATACTTATAAGTACAGCTTTATAATTTTTTTTCTGCACAAACATTTTATATAAAAGGACTTTATCTTGGTTTACTTGAACCCTTATTTTACAAAAAAGTGTATAGGTTTGGTTACAAATTGAATTGGGTTGAACCCTTATTCTACAAAAAAGTGTATAGGTTTGGTTACAAATTCAACATCAACAACCCCTCTGATATTCAAAAAACAAACCAGCACATTTGATGTCACTTGCCGAGCCTTTTTTGATCTGGCCAATCAGGCTGCTGTCCACTGGCTTGACTGCTGTCAATATTCATCCCCTGTTATGACTTTTGATAAAAAATCCAGGTCAGTTTGTGACTGTTCTTTCAAATCCTGACGGACTCACAGACGCTTCTTCCTCCCTACGGTCATCCAAAAGCAATTGTGGAACAAACACTTCTGAGATACTTTTAAAGTTCAAAACATCAGTTAGGACTCTTTGGAGTGAACACTGGAAAATTCCAGTTATTTCCTCCAATTCGTCGATTGATCACGATGGTCAAAAATTGTGACACTTTTTAAACATTTTCGTCCGTTTTGGCCAATGAGAAGCGACCCAGAGTTCATCTTCAAGTGACATCGGCCACTTTTAAACCTCAGAAATCACTCGTAAAAAGGCAATGTAAGCATTTCCGCCTCTGTTTTCTTTAACAGGAGATAGAATTTGTTGTTGGTACAATGCTGAAGTTCTTCATCAAAAAATTGCCAAGCATGTATGAATGTCACTTGGCCTACTGATTAGGGTGAGTGTCGCTTAACGTACCTAACATGAGAAGGCAGCACTGCCAACTCACTTACCTACAGAAAATAATTCTTTTTTTTTGGGTACCTCCATTACACTAACTCAGTGCCACCTAGACTATCTAGTACGAGGGTCATTCAAATATGAACCGGATTTTTTTGTTTATCCACCCTGTTCGAGCAGCGAGCAGGCTGCGGTTCCAGGAATGGTTAGGTAGTTGTTATATGAAAGGGGTCAACACGCGTAGAAAACGTCCCTCGCCGATCAATTGTCAGTAGCACCATAAGCGAGCAAGAGGTTCCTACGTCTGTTGCGCAACGAATTATTATTCGATTTCTCGCGATTGAGGGCGTCAAATCGACTGCGATTTTGACGAGACTTAAAAAACAGTTTGGGGATGACACCCTATCATGAACCCAGGTATTTGACTGGGCCACAAAATTTCGAAGTGGCCGAGAAAGAGTAGAGAATGACAGCCACAGCCGTCGACCTCGATCGAGTGTCAATGACACCAATAGTCAGGCTGTTACCAACCTCATGGAAGCTAACCGACGCCTAACTGTGGACGACATTGCAGCAAAGATAGGCATAAGTGTTGGGAGCGTCCACACAATTCTTGCAGAACAGCTTGGGTTGCGTAGATTGTCCATGAGGTGGGTCCCACGTCTCCTTACGGAGCAACACAGAAATGCCCGGAAAGAGATCTGTCAAAGGCTTCTGACTCGATATGAAGAAGGGGAGCCATTTTTAATCCGCATTGTGACCGTCGATGAAACATGGGTGTATTACTACACCCCAGAAAGCAAAACGGTGAGCAAGGAATGGAGGAAAAGTGGAGAGAGACCTCCGATCAAAGCCAAATCTCATTTGTCAGCAGGGAAAGTTCTGGCGACAGTGTTTTGGAATGCCAAGGGTGTGTTGCTGATCAATTTTCTGTACGATCGAAGGACCGTGAATGCGGCGTACTACTGTCACCTACTGGATGAGGTGAAAGCCGCTTATCGCCAGAAACACCCCCATTATGCCCAGGTCAAGCAGTTTGTGCGCAATTGGCTTCGGGAACGCCCTAATTCTTTTTATGCTGAAGGCATTAAGAAACTGCCAATGCATGCAGAAGGAAACTATGTAGAAAAATAATACATTATTGTCTTAATTGTATCTGTTACCAATAAAGAAGTAAAACAAAAATCCGGTTCATATTCGAATGACTCTCGTATTAACAGTTAATTTTTCGTGTATTTTAATGTCTTGGTGAAAAACAGAGTATTCGTTTCTGTTTTACAGAGTATACGGTTTTAAGAAATAATATAAAGAAACCCATTGTAAAATCCCGTGAAAGGAAAATTTTTCTGTTATTTCAAGGTTACCTTCTACTCAGAGATGTTCGTAAAAACAGGTTTTACTGTACTTACCTGTGAGTCGTCCATAGTGATATTTGCTTTGGTATGGGCTGTGGCTGGTCGTCCGGTAACGATCTCCTCTGCAAGCACCCTGGCTCGTAATTATTCTCCCTGAGCACCTGAATACCCCTTTTTACGCTGGCAACGTGCAGCATAGAGGTAACATGCAACAACGCCAGATCGTCCATCGTCAATCTGTGCAGTAGCCGCCCGTCCACCCTGTTTATCAGGAAGTTTTCTTTGTGCTGAGGCAATCCCGTATCGTCTAACCACCTCAAGACCCACGCAGTATCCAATTTACCCGCTTTGGTTAAGTAAGGATCGCTGGATCCGTTCTCTTGGGTATCGATGAGGGCCAGCTGTAGTTTCTTTCGGTGAAGGGGATTTTTTATGTTCAATTCCTTCTCTATTTCATTTATGGAGGCTTCTTGAAACTGCTGGCCCGACTTCACCCACCGTTTGGCGTCTATTATGTAGCTGTCTAGTCCTAGGTCTTGCAACCAGTCGCAGATGTTCTCCGTGTCCCATTCGGCAAACGGTTTGTCCGGTCTAGAATAGATATGATTACAACATGGAGTGTATAAGTAATAAGAAAAATGTACCTTGGTGTGATATGCGGTTCGCTCCATCCTAACCTGGCGGCCGCCGTGGCTCTAACGCCGCCTCTTTGGAATTCGTTTAACCCAGGCAGGTCTTCCAAGTTGCCAGAGCCCGACCGTTTCATTCGGCCGAATATCTTCTTGATTCCTTTGGTTTTGTTAAATGAGAGAGTGGGAGAACTCGGCGACTCGTGCGAGCCCTCGTCTATCATTATTTTTTCTGTTTCAGCTAGAGAATACAAGTCCTTTAGTTAGATTTTCTTATAAAGAGAGAGATGAGAGAATTCGACCAAATGTAAATATTAAGATGAATTCCTACCAAACAGGGCGCAACTTTATCGGGATTCAATTTTTTTGTAGTAACAGTAAGTGCTCCCCTAACTATATATATTTTTTAAATAAATAGAAGAGATTGTAATTAATTTTTGCATTTAAGCTGTCACTATTTCAAGATTTTAATAAAAAGCTTTTGTAGCAATATTTTTTAAAGCACTGTGTTTAGTTTGTGAATCTCAGTGTAATTAACCTAGTTTAGATGAACTCCATACCAATCCACCTGGTGTGATATGACAATGGAGCACAACTTTATTCAGCGAACGAGAATCCTAATATTTCACCGCTTCATTTTATTATATATAGTTTCATTTTGAAACAATCAAGAACGATGAGATTAGACAACAATGCACGTCACAGCTTCCAAATTGGGCATATGCTTGTTTGAGGTTAAGCAAGCATGTCCAGCGGGACACGAAAATTATGAAAAGGTTAAAAAAGTTCAGTTTTCACGATGAAATATGATAAAACAAACTTATGATGTGTTTTTAAAGTTAAAAAGAAAATATGCTCCCGATTTAAAGTTACACCCTGAATTTTAGTTTTTTTTTAAGTTTTGTTAAAAATTGCACAAATTTTATAACTTTGCAGAAATGGATAGATTTTGAGTATCATCTCTCGATGCAGAAGGAAAGAATCGATGAAATATCAATTACACAACGAAAAGCAAAATTAATAAGTGCACGAATATTTTGTAAAAATTAAAAATTATTTAAGCTCTAGGTTAAAGGGCATAAGTAGATAGCTCAAGTCATGTTCATGATGAAACGTAACCCTGTTACTTTGTGTTCTAAGTAATAAGGTTATAATTTATGAAATATCGCTGTCTTGAAAAAAAAAGTGTGGTGATGTTATGAGATGCCTGGCTTCATAGTATGAGTTTGTCTTTAATTACGACGAAAATCATTTCCTCGATAACTACTAATTTTTCTAACATGCAGTTTAAACCCTACTCATCACAATTTTGTTGAGAAATTCGCTCTATTAGTACATTAAACTAATTTTTGTTGATTATTTAGGAATATCAATGCAAACCAATAAAGAAAACAAATCAAAGATGATGATTATCGACAAACTGAGCAATTTAGAACTAAATGTCTTAAAAAAAATTGTCTGTTAAATAAAATTTTGCTCAAGTAGAGAACGAAAAATATTCAGCGATATTAAAGCGGGGTTAAACATCGAATACGGTGCATATAATGGAAGCGAAAGCCTGGCAGACCACAGAAGTTAGTACTCTCTCATGGCATGCCTAAAGACCAGAGCTATCACCTAGGTTGGGTACCGAGAAGCCCCTGAGTCTGCCCCCCACCAGAGAGGAAAGTCCCCTACCGAAGGCCACCCCTTTTTTGGCGCCGTTCGCGGGGTTGGCGTTGCCGTCCACAGCGCTGCTGCCGTTCGCTATGAACTGCTGCCTCGGCAGGCTCCCGTACTGGATGTCAATCTGCCTTTTGTATGTTGATGGGGGTGTCTGGAAATAAAAACAATACTTTAGTTGTAACAAATAAGTAGCAAATAATGTTTCCTCGGCTGTTGTCAGATACTTAATATTAGAGCTCGACATTTGCGTGCAAAGTCAGTAGCGTGCGTCATTAAGAAATTTGGAAATAATTTAACTCTGTTACAAATACGGAAGTAAATTCCGTCTTATTCAAATAAAAAGAATGTTCTATAGCTAAAGATAATAATTTGCAGTAAATACTGAAAAATATTATATATTTATGATGGGACTGGATTTTTAAAAAATAAGTTGTGCATAATAAAAGATACCCTATTTCATTATTTTTTTATGTGTACTTACAGCCTAACCATATATTTTTTCTTCTATTTCATGCCTTTGTTATAATCAATGGCTTTGGAATAATTGTATAAGACTCAGGTACATATTTCTGCCAAAATGATCAAAATTGTTCACTATTGACCACATATATGGAGTGTTATATACACTGGACAACACAATCAGGTAATGTAAAAATACCCAGTATGGTAGCTATAACACTTAAATAAAATTCTGTAGCTACCAAAATCATTTCACAAGCAGTACATTTTATTATTGCTACATCCCAATGCAAATTTGGTAAAAGTACACTATATTTTTAATTGGAAATAAAACAATTAGATTCACCTTTGGTGGTTGACCCTCTTGTTGAATGGGAGTTGATGTTTCCATTCTCCTTGGACTGTTACTAGCAGGTCCCAATGGGCTTGGAGACGGAGTCATTCTTATGCTCAAAGCCTAAAAGAATTCAAAATATTTGTCAATAAAAACATCAGTCACTAAGTATATACCGTTGAGTGAGAAATATGATATTTCTCACTCAAATGTACTAGTAACTTTGTGACTTTATGATTTAAAACAAAAATATAGCAAATTGCACCTGATTAGGAGGGTGTTGCACAGGCGTCGAGGATAGCTGAGGTTGCGACGACATCCTGGGCATGATGGGTGGTTTCTTTCCCTCAGAGTTGTTATTATACTGACTGTTTCTTAATTCTAGGTTTTCCCTTTCCAGAGCTGCTTGTTGAAGTTTTAATTCACTCATTATAGACATTAGTTCTAGTTTCTGTGTTTCTAGTGATGATCTAGATAAGACTTCCTGGAATAAAATACAAGGTAAATCTTAATGTACACATATATTTTACAGACGGGTATGGTTTACTGTGCAAGAGGTGTAATTAATAGTTTAATTTAAAATAAATACACATATTCCCGATTTTAACAGATAATGTGTAATGTAATTTCTGTCCAATGTGAAAATTATTCATTACTGGTGTGGTGTTTTATTTTATTTAAGCCTATTTATATAAAATCAAAATACGTATTTCTCATTCAAACAAATCATTGGTTTACAGCTTTTAATATTGTATTGCAATATATTTTTTAATTAATTGTTAATGTGCTACAGTTAGAGGTTATGACTTTACTATGAGAAATAAGTGAAGTGTGGCTTTTTCTGTTTTTCTATTTCAATTACCAATTTCTTGTCCTAAATTGCATTGTATAAATAGATACATGTATATGGAAATATTATAACAACGTCAACTTGACAGGTTATTAAATAAAACATAATTTGTAGTAACTAATCGCTTTTTACTGTTTAAGTAACCTTATGGTTAAATAATTAAGTAATATTTATTTTTTGATTCATGTAACAGATTGGCTTTTTAAATAATATAATTTAAAACTTGCCTATGATATTTAACTTGCTAAAATAAATTTTTTCAACTATTTAGAGTTTCATTATGAAGCTAGAAATTGGTGTAAGCTTGCTACAAAATTTAATTTTAACCAACTCTTTTTAAAACTGGAATTGTCACATAATTTTCTTGACATATAACTTGGCAAACTCGCAATTCTTTAATGCGCATACATAAACGATTTTCTTCCAATTAAACAGGGGTTTTCAAAATGTACATGGATTGATTAAAAAAAAATGACTCACTGAACTCATTTACACCGCGAATTATACTCTCAGTTAGAATATATGTATGTAAACATTTAAGATTCACTGTATATCGAACAATGTAATGATAAGCACACGCGTATAAAAAAGTACAAACAATTTTAGAGATTGCTTTAAAAAGTAATTATTTTAAATAATTTATTTTTATATAAATACATCTATGTAAACAAATTATTTTCAAATTGTTTGTACATCCAGATTATTTGTAGAAACACATTTCAAAAATGTGAATCACTTTATATCTTTATTTATTCATCATAACCATTCCATTAAGTTGTCGTTATTTTTAGTCAAGGATAACCTACAGTTTACTCATTTAACATCTATTAGATCCACTAAAATCGTTTTCATTTCGTATCTGGAAAGTGTTGTTAAATGCTAAGATATTTATTAAGAATGGAGGGATATATGTATTTTTTAAAACAACGATAACGTAGAATATGAACGATCTGCTGCTATTTATGATGTACATTAATAATTTTACCATATTGTATAAGCAACGAAGAACGTAAAACTTTTAACAACGAGCATTTTTTTTTAATATTACATTTCTGGATACTTTTTACATACGCTTATAAATAAAAATGTTATTTTAAACTATCAATTAGATAGGTACTTTACGATACATTCTGTATAAGAGAATTCCGAACGTATTTTGTCGTAAATTGATTACTAAATATTTAATATTATGAAAAAGTAATTATAAAAGTTCTGGAATTACAATATAAATATTTCTGACACAATTTTCAGCCGCAGGGATGCTACAAATTCCATAAAATTCTGTAAAAGCATATACTATGGAAGAGTAATGAAATATGTGCGAGGGAGGCGTATCGAATCACACAACATCAAAACAATTCATTATAAACACACAGGTATTTAATTTATTGAATCGTTGAATCGAAAACATCCAATAACAGTATTTGAACTCGTTGAAAACACTCATGATGTCAGATTTATAGTTTTATACAAAATCTAAAAATAAAGAAACACCCAGTTTGAAAATAATAAAATTAAATTAATTTTTCGTATCAAATTGGAAATATATTTTCCACGATGGTTGTGCCACTGCCTAAATCATAATTAACATGTAAAATTTACAAATAACAAAAATAAATTGAGAATCGTACGCTCCGTTTGAAACGCATATTTTAATTAATGATTAAATTAGTTTATATTGGCTCATTATGAACTAAATTTCTGCCATAAATTACAAAAATAATTAAACTTTTTCGCAAAAATAAACATAACTATTATTACGAATATTTAATAGTGGTCTTAAAGATTTCACGGCTATTGCTGGTAATTAATGAACCACGGTTTTTCGGGTAGCTATGTTGTAAACATTGGATGTTTGGAATCAATAATAAGAACCGAAATCAATGTCCTAGTATTTTTGACAGCGGGGTCACAAAGCTTAGCCCGAGAGCAATAAGGGCAGGTCTCAGATTCCTTAAGGCCAAGAAAGTATATTGTAAGTCTGTAATCGGCGGCGACAAGGTTCACACAGCATAACAAGTTGTTATGTTGTGTGTTGTTATTAACAACCCGGAAAACTATGGTCATTCAAATTATAATTATTTATTTATTGTTCAATACAAAACAGTAAGGACATACATTTTTTCTGTAATTGAGTTTTCAGAGATAAAGAATTGTGAACTTGAACAACTCAACCATATTGGAAAAGAAGTAGACTCTTTTCTGTTCTGTGGGTTTGTGAATGCGGTGGGATTTTAAAATTTCTTAGAGTAATTGTTTCTTTTCACATTTTGATGCACACAGGAATAATTACTCTCTTGTTTCAAATAAAATTGACTTCACTAATACAGCTAATGCAGCAATAATTAAATATATTAATAGCGAACTCACGAACAATCAATGGCGACTTCTGTATAAGGTCATTTTAGTTAATGACCTTCCGCATATACCATGATAAATAAAGATTCAGTGTATTTCTAGAAATTTACAAAAGTTTATATTTTTAAGAATACATTCGTATTTTGACAGCAAATAAGGATACATTTATTATATGTATAATAAAAAAATCTCTAAAACTTTTTATCTTAGTTAGATTTTTCATGTCTCTAACAATAATCTCTAATTCTGAGAACAAATAAAAAGAAATAGACGCAGTTAATTTTTGCGTGACTATCGTGATAGTCGATCATCAATTTTAGCCATATGTCTCCTTTTAATGCGCGATATCAATCGCAATATTATCTTTACCATAATATTACTGATTATTGTAACCGTTAAGGCGAATTTACACGATGCAATTTGGATGTACATCGAGGATGATTCATGAAAGATGATACCATGTAAATCACGTTTCATCAACAACATTTCATCCAAGATAAGGAAACAGTGCTGCCTCTTCACTATCGATTTCACCTTAGATGAATCATCCTGGATGAACATCCAAATTGCATCGTGTAAATTCGTCTTAACAAAGAAACAACGGGAACGATTGTGCCTAATGACGAATCCATCACACATGCAGGTCATACAACTCTCGAAGATTTTTTAGTGCACTATAAATAACGGAATTTTACCCTTTGTAATTTCTCCTCGGTCTCTGACAGGAGCTGCTTCTTTTCCTGCAGCAGCTTCTCCAAATCGGAGATCTTGTCGGACTGGGCCTCGATCTGCTCGGTGAGGACTTGCACCTGCAGTTGGAGGTTGTCCCTCTCGTACTGGATCTTGCGGAACTTCTCATCTTGCTCCCCCGGCTGTTAAAAAAAAATAAAAAAAAAAACTTAGTAACGATAACAACGCTGTATGCTGTATTATTAATAAAGGGTCTTATATTTTATAGAGGTGAATTTCTTTAAAAGTGTTTATTTATTTTGGGTAAAAATACATTATTTACAGAACTTATTATCACACAGTTGTGACAGTTGAGATGAAGTACCTAATAGGTTTGTTCGCACAGCAGTCAGAAACCACCAGCAATTTGCAGTGATGCGCACTATAGAATTAATTCGTATCCACATGATAATCTGTTTTACGCGAGTCAAATACGTATAAATCGTTACTCAAAAATACGTATTAGCTTCCGATTAATTATCAATCGCTGTCCTTTCCCAGAAGCTGCCTTTAATCCCGTAGAAAATCGTTTAAAAAATGCGTCTCGTCTGTTCCATAATTTAACTATCAACTGAAATTAAATATCCTTTCGCGTAGTCATCCTACTCCGTCGGGTGTTAAAAACAAAAGAGGAAGTGCCACAAAGGGGTTCGTTAGAGGTTCTTTATCTAATGGCTGAGCAGTAATTACGGAGAAGTTTGCCACAGGCCTTTATTAAATATGGAAGATTTTTGCGTGGCTTTCACGAGGCTTGGAATGTGTATGGGTGGCATACTCCATAAAGTAAAACGTTAAGTGACACCGTAAACAGTATTTTAACGAAAAAAATACTAAATAATACATATACAAGACAATACCTTCTATGTTACAATTTGTTTTTTTAAACGATTTTCTGACGTGAGCGACCACCCGGTTCAACATGACTAAATGATTTCTTATTTCATTACAGAGATGTCTGTTAGATCTAAAACGGTCGTATGAATATCGTAAATCTCTCAAATAGGCCACGAATATAAAAACGTATTAACTATCTGGCTCACTGTCAACTACGGAGAGAAATTTTTAATATAAGCCCGGAAATATTCCATAAATCGGATAAAGAAAGCCAACGATAATTGTAAAAGTGTTCTGGTGAGACCACTTTTATGTCGAGGAATATTGGCTATTAGGCGTTCTTTCTTTGTCGTTCCTCTCGAAATAGTTATGGTACAGGGTATATGACGTTAACCGGTGCAGTTTTTTTTCGAAAAAGTAAATTATTTTTAATAGTTTTGCCTGATATGGTACTTTTTTATTTAAAACAATTTGAATATCAGTGTTCAATTCGTTTTCTGTTGAAATTTGGAACATAATATACTTAAAAGGAATGAATATACGATATGATGCACTTAAGAAAAAATTATATGTTTGAAAATGCAACGTAATACTATTTTATAGGGTATTTTATACAAATATTTTAGTCATTTTCTACATATTAAAGAACATACTGATGTACGTATGTGGGTTAATATCATGTTTTTTTAATTAATCCACAAAGTAAGTAACTTTCCTCTAAAAAAAAAATTGTAGATGGATTTTAATAACAATGTTCTCAAAATAATCAAATGGAAAAGTATACTCTTTCTCTTAGAATCATATTGTTAACACTTAAATGTAGCAAAAAATAAGACAATTATTACTGCAACTTGGTCATTTAAAAAAAACCTTAGCTTTCTAAAAAACCTGACAATATTACCACAGCTCTAAAATACATATACAGTATTTCCCACGTTTGTGTCCTGAAGAGCAAAAACTTTGTTCTCTAATTTTTGAAAAAAATTTATTTCCTGTTGAAAATGTCCTGCTGGTTCCCAAACTCTTAAAAATGTTACCACTCTTCGTTTTATATACAGGATGTTAAATTTTTTGGAAACTTTAAAATGTATCATTAAGAGATACTGTTAGGAAATCCAAGATCGTAAATTTGAAGTTTCAATCGTTTTGCAAAAAAAAAAAATAATTACGTCACTTCATATCAGGTAGATGGCTTGAACACACTATGATTCCCGTAATTAAGCCAGAAACTGATGAAACGATAATTCATTAAAATCCATGGAATACAGATCGGGACTTCTGGGAGGTCATAAAATTTTATTTTTTATTCCCGTTATTGAGTTATGGAAGTAATGTTGAGTTGAACTGAACTCTGAAATTCTCTCTGATATACTAAGATTAGAATTTTGGTTGTTTCCCAAAATTCCAACTACATGAGAGAAATATCAAGAAATTTCCAATGTCATCAGAATATCATAATTTAAAATAACTAAATTTAATGATTTCCTAGAAATCCTGACCTGAATTTAATGGACATTTATTATCATTTGTTAGGTCTGAACAGGTTCTGATATTACGAGAATCATGAGTATATCTCAGGTGCCAGGTGTTATGAAAGAAGATAACTATTTCTTTAATCACTTGTAACTGTACAACCTTCTTGGAATTACAAACAATATCCCTTAGTAAAACTTTTCGATGATTTAAAAGATTGGGGTACACCCTGTATATAAAATCAAGAAAGTCGTAACATTTGTAAGAGTTTGGATGATAAGCGGCAATTTTTATAAAGAATGACATTTCCTCATAAATTTAAAAATAAATGATTTTCGTCTTTAGGAAATATCGTTACCGAAAAGAATTATCTTCACCAATCAATTTAGTAGCTAATGATGTGCACCCACCGTAAAAATAGAACAATAATTATTACTGCAACATAGTCATTAACAGAAAATACAATCTGTCAAAATTAATAAAAGATCAGTCAAAACACTGTCTACCTTAGGATATGGAGGCGGCGTCCAATGGTAACTCCTATCCCCATAGAAGCAGCACGGTGGAGGAGCCATATGGTACGCACAACACTGCATCTCGTGCCTGTATCTCCCACAGTCACCGTAGATGTCCGGATGACTACCCCTGTCCATATACCTCGGATGCTGATGCTGCTCCAGCATGGGGTTACTCCCATACCTCTGGGGATCCAATCTCTCGTGTCTTCTTTGAAAGTTTTCGAAGCAGAATTCATGGGGATTGCAGCACCAGTTCTGACAGGGCATGAAATCTTCTATCCTTGGAGGACTTTTAGGTACATGGGTCGATCGGGACTTCTGATCCCTCTCCTGGCGGTTAGAAGGGTGTCGTCGGCGGTCTAGGCTTCCGGGGGCGGTTTTTTCTCTACGGGGAGCCTTGTCGCGCAAGGGGCGGTTAAGGGGAGGTTTGCTCACGGGAATCTGCTCGAGATCCTCCATTTTGGGCGAGGCGGGTTTGGGGGACTCCTTACGGATCCATTGGAAATCGTTGTTGCACCGCGTGGAACTGTCTGGGTTGGGGAGTCGGAGATACACATTATGATCACATTTGTTTTTGGAAACGTAATGTGTGAATACAGGGTACAGATTGTGACATTGCCACAAACTTTCTGAACTGATTCCTTTCGCAAAATTAATCAATTAATCCAAAAAAAACAGTATAAGGGTTATCTCTAAGAGCTCTACGACCCCTAAACTATTCAACGAAACGTAGTTTTCAATAAGTTACTCACAATCCATCGAAGGTATAGACTAAATTGATGAAGCACGTAGCTACCTAGATCTAATTTTAACAAAAAAATGGCGAGTGGCGTTGGAGTTATAAGAGGTTTGAGGTTCCAACTGTAATAATACATTTAGCGTCGCAGAGTCGTCTTCTACAAATTTGGATCATTAGACTTCGACTCAAAATATCATATTAAAAAAGAAAGTGATGTTGAAAAGACGGAAAACTTTTTTATTTTTCATTTAATGGGAAAAATACTTGTTAACAAAGTACTGTAAATCTGTCATTAGAAATGGGCTAAGTTCGTAAAAGAAGATTCCCAGCGATGCAAAGTTCTTCACTGGTTCAGTTAGTATTTTATTACTTGTCGGTTATTACTATTCAGTAACTTCACTCCACCAATTTTGAAATCTATGTCTTCAATGTCGAACGTTTTAGGAAAAAATATTTTATTTTGACTAGAGAAAAATCGATCCTGAAGGGTTGTAGTCAAACGTCATAGCTGCACCCTGTAGATTAGTACAGCAAACTAAGTTATATTAATTACTAGTTACTTATTGAGGCACTTATTATTCGATTAGGCGACAGGTTAAAATATTCACCTTTTAAATGTTGTTGGTCCGAAGAGGTTGTCGACAGATCGGATGTAGACCCCTGATTTGATAAACTGCCCGACCATGCATGATTTCGACCCTTTAGAGTCGATTCAGCCTCAAGACTAGAATCGTCATCGTGTCCTGAACAGATACAGTCGGAACTTACACAGTTGTAAACTTGAATTTCTAGCAAATTCTCTGTTCTCATTCAAATGTTATTTTGTTATCAGAATAACAATTAAATTATAAATTACTTTCTAATAAAATTATCGCATTCCTAGATTGGAATGTTTATATTTTAATTCTGAAAGTAATGTAATTGCTCGTTTAATGATAATTACTTATGTAGAAAATAAAAAATTTAAAGTTTGTAAATATAATAACTTTATAGATGCTATTAGCATATGACAATTTTTTATAACAAATTCCATCACTGTTACTTAACACACAATTAAATATTTCTTTTACTAGATAGGTAGGGAAAAAGATGAATATTTTTATAATATAACACGAAATTTATTTTTCTGTTATACTTTACATCTACAAACGCAGGAATATACAGGGTGTTATATGAATACTTGTACAATGGAAGAGAACAGATTCCTAGACTCAAAATAAGCCGCTTCATTTGGCCACTAGATGGCACAAAAGTACCTGAAGAATTTTTGAATTTGTAAATGCAAAAATCATGCAACGACTCCACTTTAACTTTTTAAAAAAAGTAAATTTTTGTATACAATACAAAAAATGGCGGCCATTTCGTATCTACATCTTTTGTAATTTATTTTTATCATTAAATTTGTAATTTTTCAAGTTCAATTTTTGCACTTCTTTTATTGTATGAGTAGGTAATAGAATGTTCGATTCAATTTCTCGATTTTGCAAAGGTTTATTGGTTGGGCACAGACAAACACAAAATCTGTCCCTACTAGCAAATTATTAAGGATTGTAGTAAACGTGGCAAGATATGTAGCCATTTAAAAATATTTTTTTTATACCTAAACTACTCATTTAATGGAAATTGTACAAGAGACAAAAAAGGAATAGTATCAGCTACGATGTAAAAAATATTTGTCTAATGACAATCAATCAATCAATAATTTGCACGAACGGAAAAAAGTTATATACAGGTTGTTTCATGTAAGAGGAATTCTACTATACCTCTGTAACTGTAAAATTTATAAAAAAATGGTGTTAATAAAAGTTGTCTGGAATCATGTGGGCCATGTAAAGAAAATATTTTTAGCTTTACAGGGTGTTCCATTTCGCGTGGGCGCTATATAACTTTGTTATTTTAAATGGGACACCCGGTATATTATTGCGTTTTTGAATTCCTTGGTCAATATTAGGTAGAGTTTATTAAATGTACATGGTGTTTAAATGTTACCGTTTTCGAGTTAATCAGTTGTTTTTGAAAAAAAATTATGATTTCAGCTCTCTAAATGAGGCTAGATAGCGTCTAAACTGTAAGAGTTAGAAATTTGCAGTTTTCACAGTTCGTTTTGTCATAAATTACTCTATCTTGTAATCTGTGAGCAAAACCTTATTCCTTATTCAGACTCGGAAATATTGAGAGGTACATTTAAGAATCTTACGAGTTGAAAAACTTTTTTTTTCAAATGGAATGACCCATATTAATTGCCATGGGTAAATGCAAAATTGAATGCCCTTTCGACTGGTATAAGGTTGTCCATACTTTTAACAGTTTTCCAGAAAAATCAGTTTTTTTTCTAAGTACGAAGCAATTTTTTACAAATTCTACAATTGCAGAGTTACAGAAGAATTTCTCTGAGGTGAAACACCCTGTATAAACAAAAAATTATCAATTGAAAACAAAAGCCCTACTCCAAAAATAATTAAAATCGATAACGAGTATTAGAATTATTCCAAAAATTAAAAAATGCTTAAAAAACTTTGAAACTATCTGGCTGCCAAACAAAACGATTTTGAATATAGATGAATTTACAGAAACCGGCCTATTTTGAGTCCACTAATCTGTGGTATTTAATTGTACACGGACTTACGGGACACCCTGTATAACATAAATGAGTTATTTATTTTTCAAAGTTCGTGTAGCACAACGCAACGACAAGGATAAAAAGAATGATACACGTTGAAACGGTTTTATCAAAACGTAATAAAGAAACGTAGAACGTCAATTTTACGTTCGAAGGGTCAGGTTTTATATTAGGGAAACGTCAATCAGCTGCAACAAATGTCTGTGTGAGGGTAAAGACTTATTTTGCCCTACAAAAGGCCTACTATTATATATGAAATTTTCGTTTAAGATTTTCCTCGTTCAATAACAAATCTGAACAGGTATCTTGGAAAATACAGATATAAATGAACCCTCCATCTATATACACACGTCGCGTCGTGTATTTTTTCTCATAAAAGCTACTACCACGAGGCTAGAAAAATCGGTCTTAAACTCGATTTTTCATGTAAAATTATTCAATTCGATTCAAAGAGTGTAAAAGCGACATACATTCACTGACTATAATTTAGAATAATTTGCGTTAAATTATTAAAATACTGTTAGACAGACATTGGATATATACCAAGTATAAAAGTTTTAATAATAATAATAATTTAATGACAGATGAGGCTTTAATCCCCAGAGTAATAGTATTCTACAATACCATTAGTTATTAGTTAACAGCTAGTCTCTGTCGCTTTTCTGTATACCAAAATATTGGTGTTAAAAACCAGTTTTTCAAACTTGATTCGAATTAGCTTAATATAATTCAAAGAAAAGCAAAGGTTTAAAGCTAATATTAAAACGTATAAACTATCAATATTTACGTATTTAGCTTTTTAAAAAACTTATTTTTAGGTACCCTATTTCAATGCAATACATTGTATCCTCAAAACAAAAGATAATACGCCCGTGGTATATAGAAAAAACACCCTGTATATACACCAATCATAAGTAGTACACAAATATCGACACTACGCTTCGGGCAACAGATAAAATTATTTCGCTTCGACGTCCCATCCAAAATAAACAAATAAATGACTCAACCAATTAATATTCACTTTATTCTCAAAACGTTAAAAATAATAGCTACGGCAAACGACGTTAAAAATATTGTAAATTCGTCTAGACTTTGGCCGCAAGCCCCACAGCAATAGTAGTGTTGCAAGTCGCCCACGCCGTTTCTGTTTTAGTGTGTGTTATTATCCTCTTAATGTCTTTTGGAAATAGTACAAGAGGCCTAGTTTCTAGCGTCTGGAGTTCAAACGAGGACGAGGAATTGTTTGTTATTTTCGTCAACTGAAAATGGGAAAGATATCTTTGAAGTAAATTTAGACGGATGGTGGTGTGGTTAAAGTTAACGATTTCTACGAGTTAATATTATTTCACACAGGGTGTTAATAATATACCGTGAAATTTTAACGACTGGACTGATTGAATTCGTGAAATGTTCAGTGGCGTAGATTTTTTGGGGTTTTTATTGACGTTATTTGTCACAATTGTATACAAATTATTAATTTATTTATTTAGTTCACCAGTCCAAATTTTAATAATATATTTTCTCACCTGGGCAAATGTGAAATTTTGGGCAAACTTTAATTCTGTATATCTCGAAAAACTAAGACGATTAAGAAATAAGTTATCGGAACTTTTCCCTTAAATTGATTTAAAGTGTTAACATGTGTCGATCAGCTACATAGGTAATGTGAAATATCGTCATTAAGAACCCTAGTTTCAACCCTTTGAATATTTTGTATATTGTATGTGTCGTTTTATTCAAAAAATCAGTCATTTGTCTTTTATTGTTATTATTTTTTAAATAAGACTACGACATACTTGACTAAATAAAAAATATTAGTCTTTGTCACGAAAAAAACAAGATTTTTATTGGATATACAATTTTATACAAAATGTAATTATAAAAATACCAAAAAAATCATTGGTGTAGCAATACAGGGTGTTTTTAAATGAAGTATTAAAATTGGTACCAGTGAGTGTAGAGCCAAAAATAAGAGGATTGAAGTAAAAATACCTTATATGAAAGTTGCACCCCTGAGGCGATATACCCTCTTAAAGGAGGGGATTGAAATTCACATTGTAATTTTTTCTTTAACATAAGGAATGCTAGAGACACGAAACTTGGTATGAGCATCCTACTAATAAAGAGACAACTTTTCAATATTTGTTCGATCATTGGTGTTTTATAAAGAAGTGAAACATTCAAAAATATTTATTGGGAAGACTGATTTATTGCGCAACTTTTTTACCTCTTGTAATTTTTCGATAAAACCGATAGTTTTCTAGTAAACAAAATTTGATGCGTCATCGTTCACTAAAGGGGTAATTGCCAAAATTTGTAAAAATAAAGTAGACGGATGTCATAACAAATAAATTGTTATTTATCATATTAATAAATTGACACTTTCTGTTAATTAGTACGAATTGATTAATTTATTATCTGAATAATTATGGCAAATTCCCATCCATACGTTTAAACTGAAATTATGTTGACATCTTGAAACAAATATTTCATGAGTATTTTCTTCCGACCATGAATGACCATTATGAAGGTTTACTGCACCTTAGAAAAATTTACTTCATCGGTGAAAAGTATATTCATTAGGAAATTTATGTCATGCCTGGAAATATTAATGTACCATTGATAAAAATCCACGGGGTTAGGTAAATCAGGGTCATTTAATTCTTGCACGGGTTGATGGTGAAAAGGGTATAAAAGATTTTCATGAGCTACATTCTACACAAGTCTGTGCGAAACTTGCAGTTGCTTGGACATCTGTTTTGTGCTTGTACCACAGTCTTGTTCTAGTTTCAACATTTCGGACATTTCGCCTTCTTCCGGCACCCTCACGATTGGGCTGAATTTTACCAGTTTCGCGAAGCCTTCTTTCCACCGAGGCCAATGTTTGTCTATGAGGAATCGGTCGGTTTTGATTTCTTTGGTGGTATAAGCTTACTGCAGTGTTACTATTTTTTTCTGGATTCGAAAAACGCTTGGAGCATGTCTACATATTCGTCATTTGTATAAATATTATTTGCCATAATTATTCTGATATTAAATTAATCAATTGGTACTAATTATTGGTCGACAGAAAGTGTCAATTTATTAATATGATAAATAACAATTTATTTGTTATGACATCCG